TGTGTGTGTGTGGGGAGAGAAGCGAAGCGCCGGCCGCACTTAGTTTCGGAGTTCCCTTTTTTTTACATCTACCCTCTCTGCTTTCTTTTCTGTGAACAAGGGAGCGCGGGGCTCCGGACAGTTTAGTTGCCGCAATAAAACAGTCCTCGGGCTATTCTCTTCCGCCAGGCACGTTGAGAATTTGCTCCTGCACAATATTCCCTGCCGCAGCACTCTTAACTCTCTTCCCCAGCCCCGGACCAGGAGGCTGCAGCAAAGATAACTTTCCCGCACAAACTTGCACCAAAGCGTGGAGGGTTTTGCGCAGGAGTCAAGAGGGGTGTTTCCCTATATCTCCTTCCAAGGGCCCGTTCGGTCACGTTGGACAGGCTGAGTCGGTGGGAAGATACGTCCCCGCCTATTGGGAAAGGCGGCAAGTGCCAAGGAAATTCGGGAGTCGGCACTAGAAATATGTACCTTTAAGGTGAGGAATGCAGGACAGGAATGCCAGCAACCAATTACACCAGGGGTAGTCAACCTTGGCTCTTTTATGACTCGTGGACTTCAACTCCCAGAATTCCTGAGCCAGCACAGCTGGCTCAGGAATTCTGGGAGTTGAAGTCCACGAGTCATAAAAGAGCCAAGGTTGACTACCCCTGAATTACACACTGGGGTCAAAGAGACAGACTCCCGTTTCTCCCTTTCAGCCAGGTGGATGTTTCTTTTCTACCTGAAGTTGTATCGTCCTCATTTTTCCTGGCTGCATCTAACGTATTTTAATTGTTACTGATACCTCAAGAAGCAGTGGCTTATTTTATACATTTGCTTAGTTATTTTACTGCACACAGATCACTATTACGTATCCCACATGTATGTGGACTCAATGCATATAACACTACTACTAAACTGTAATTTCCTGAGTTGTGATTCACTTGAGTAGAAATTAGTAGATCAAGCAGTTAAGCCGGATGTTTTGTACTTCCAGACTTGCAAGATTCTCTAAACCTAATGTACATTTAGCTCATCTAGTAGTATTTCCTGTCTTGTTTACCTGCAAGGACTGACTCCAGTCTTTCAAGTTTAAATGTACAAAACTTCCCGTCTCCTGTTTGATCCCTTAGGGTGGGTCCTTCTGAAATTTCTTTCTCTGGCCCTTAAGCCACAGAGGAGAGGCAGAAGGTTCCTAACTCTCATCTGATTGTTTCCTAGACAACAATCTCTTCCACTTTCTCCAAGATTATTCTCACCTCTCATCACAGAAACTGAAATCTTGACCAATCCCAACTATATTTGAACATATACCGGGAAAGTATGAGACAAGCAGCAGACTATAACGACATGCAGACTATAACATGCAGAGAAACACATGCACAGGTTATCTTCCAAATTTTAAAATAAGATAGTAGAAAAAAAGTTACATATCAGTGGTGGTTGCCTTGGTAAGCAAAAATGAATCCCCGTTTTGTTCATTTAATGATCCGGATTCTGGAAATCCTTAATCAGTTTTAATGACTCAAATGCTTTAGCTGTAGAGTTAAAATATTTTATCTTGCAGGTGGTGCAGAGATCAAGGATTGGGACTTTTTAACAGCATTCATAGCCATCTGATGGGACACCTTTTCTCACAATAGCAGAGGATTCTCTACAGATAGTCCTCGTTTACTAAATTGTCTTGTTTAGTGACCTTTCGCAGTTACTATGGTAATGAAAATCCTTGTATTTACAACTTTTGCATGTGTGGAAAGCAAACTTTAAAAAAATGAAAGCACTTTTATTTAAAGCTGTTAAGTATGAGTTCGGGCTTTGTGCTGTACCGTACTGCACTACTGAAATAATCTGAATCCAGTCCTGGCTTTAACCAGCAGTGAAAGATGCCTAATATTTTTTGTTCTTCTCGAGATTTAACACCATCAATTTAATTGCTGCAACCTGTGTCCAGGAGGAAAGGGAAATGTGGACAGAGCCATGGTAAGTAAACCTGTATTTTAGGACTGACCTAATTGTTGACCCTCCATTCTCTCAAAGACCTGGCAATGTAGTGATAACTAGGAAAATCTCATGAAATGTTTGGTATTTTTGTCACGGAGTTTTATTGAAAGGAACATGCAGGGCAGGATAGTTGTAAGATACCTAAGCAAATGCTTTAGGTGTTTAGCTTAAGCTGCAAATGACTTCATCTCAGTAGGGAATGGATCCACATTCAGTTAGATAACTGAAGGAGAGCTGCATTTTAAATAGACTAGATCACGGGTATCAAACTCGGTGCGTCATGTGACGTGTTGCGATGTATCACAACTTTTTTTGCATTGCCGGAGCTGGGTGGGCGCGGCCTCTGCATGTTTGTTTACAGCTTTCATCAAATCTGTAGTTGAATGTGTCTGTCAATGTTTTGGGAAGTAGGGGACAGGCCTGCAGGCATCCTTAGACATTTGAAGACAGGATATAGTCTTTGCCTTACAGAAATTTCAGGGTTCCTTCCTGGGAACACTTGAAGATTGCAAAACACAACTTATGGACATATTAGTGTTCAGTTTTGGATGGACTGTCACACTTAACCAATTTGTTTTCTATCCCAATCAAGTCTATGTGATTCCTAATGTGAATATCTAAAGTCTATGTCAATACTCTACTTTACACTGGAGATAATGTAGATCAGTGGTTCTCAACCTTTTTAATGCCGCGACCCCAACCGGTCATAAGTTGAGGACTAAACCAGTCGTAAGTTGAGGACTAAACCGGTCGTAAGTCGAGGACTACCCAACCGGTCGTAAGTCGAGGACTTTCCCTGCCCGGGAGCGCTGCGCATGTGTGGTTCCGCCCCCTGCGCCGGCTGAGGCGTAGCTGGCAAGCGGCAGAGACGGAGCAGGCCGACCACCAGCTGGCCCAGCCCAAGGGAGGTAAGGCACCCGCCGGAAAAGGGAAAAAAATGGCGGACAGCCTTGCTTGGCGACCCCCGTGAAATGGTCGATCGACCCCAAATGGGGTCCCGACCCACAGGTTGAGAACCACTGATGTAGATAATGGCTTTGAGAAGCAACTTGACTTGTATGGAGGAATTTTATTTACTATTTCTTCTGGTAAATTCTTAGCAACACAAAAGCTAATGAACTGTTCAGACTTGATCTGACTTAATAAAAGAATTGCTTTAATAAGTATTATACAGTGTTTTTACATTTTGATTCTGCACAGCTCTGCTCCAGGACCCAATTACAGTTCAAGTATCTGAAAAACGTATGGCACACAAAACATAGTTGATTCTAAATTATCCCAATTATTTCACAGCATCTTTTGGCAGAAAAACTAGTTTCGCACTTTGGGGGATCCAAAAATCAGCAACCTAAATTTTAATATGATACAAAACAAAATGCATTAACTTTTAATATTATTTTTACAATATTTGATATTATTGCAAGATATGATATATAGATAATTTTATTTTTCAAAGGCCTTCATAATGTTAGGAATGTTATCTTCACCAAAGCGATCTTTCAGGAGAAAATAAAGAACCTGTTCAAGTTTTGCAACCTATAAAATAGAAGAAAACCAGAAATTATAATGAAATTGTCTTCCCTCAAGCTAGATTTCCAGTCAATTTATTGCAAACAGAAAGCACCAATAAACATCTAGTTCAGATTATATTTGCTTAACGTTGCAATTTATATACTCTACTTATTCAACAAATAATGAGCCTCACTAACAGAACACATATTTTCTAAGTATTAGTTTGGAAGCATTATCACGCTTAACTTTGCTAATTTCATACTAGTCCACTTTTTTGTTAAAATAAGAATTAATATTTCTGAAAATATAGATTAATTTTGGATTCATAGCTTTTTCTTGGGGAAAGGACCCATCTCTAAATTGACTTTACAGTCAATTACTCATATACACGGAGAGCTTTAAGATAGTTGAAATTTGTAGTTGAAATTTCAGGAAATGATTACATTTTCATTTGGGAACATAATATCAATTATGCAATGACCTCTACAAATTCATGTTTTTATTATGTTTTTTTACTACGCAGGTTATACATTTTAAAACCCTGATTTGTATCTTTCAGTGAAGATATTGTTACAGACAAATGTTCTGTGGATCATTTCTATGTAAACTATCTGTACTCAAAAATCAAGAAAATTAATTTCAAAATGAAACTTACTTGCTTTTTCAACTCTATGCAGGAACAATCTGTTGTCTTTGAACATTCTAAAGAAAGGAAAAATAGATTTAAATATTTATTCCAGTAGTGACAAACCCAAGTGAAAATAGAAATATACTTCCTAGTAACGCTACCAGTATTTGTTTAGCAATATTATCTTGTACATAGCAGATAAATATGCAGGTATTTGTTTGGAAGTACTTACGATTCCCATTATTGCTATATTTTGCCAAGTTTTCAATTATTAATTGTTCTGCTATATCCATAACACGATTTTCACTCATTTTTTGCACAATTACTGGATAAATATTTTGAGAAACTTCTTTCACTGTAATCATTACATTGGCATTCATTAAGAGACTTTTCAGCTTCTCTATTGCTGATATGGACCACTTTCCATCCAGTCCCATAATATCTGGAATAGAGAAAAACTACAAATATATGCTGGTTCAGAAGTTCAAAGAGATTTACTTTCAGTCAACTCTACACAGAATGGTAATGTTAGAACCATTTACAGTACTTCACTGTATATTCAGCACTAATTAAATAAAAGAAGAACTGTCTCTTTAATACCCTCCGCCACACCTACACAGCAATACATCTCACTGAATTTCTGACACATCAAGAATATATGTGGCACACTTTAAGGGCATAACTAACACGAAAAAGGAAAGAAAAAGCTTATTCAAGCAAGGAATCATCAATTTTAAAATTATTTTATGATGACACTAATATAATGTCACTAATACCATTTCACATGCATTTATAGCACAAATTTCATCTGAATCTCTATTTTTTATGATTATGAAACACTGAAAAGGAGTACGTGTCCTGCCCTCTGGCACATCTCTCTTTGTATTTAAAATCTGGATGTGGTCATCCAGAAGCAGCAAAGAGGGGGGGGAAACAACTCACTATGGTTACTAATTAATTAACATTAATAGTTTAATGTTATGAAGACATAAACAACTATATAACTAAAGAAAATATTTACTGTTTGAGAAACTAAACTGGTTGGTTTGTTACCTGCTAAGGAACATTTAAGTATTTGAAACGGTAACTGTAAGTAGGGGGCAGTTATAGGCTGAAGTCTAGAGAAAGGCAACATCTCCACAACTCCATAATCAGCATACACGATTTTAATGTCGGATACATTTATTCTCAGAACGATTGCACGGTACCATTTATCATCACCTAAAATGGTAGGGGGAAAAAAAATCAAGACTGAGAAGCTCATCATTGTAGACAAACCAATCAACTGCATATTCCAAAACACTGAAGTTTCTCTTAAATATTGTGAAGACTGCATCCACTCTAATTAACTCTTGGTTAACCCATTTGTTGCTCTTCTGCCAAACTCTCTGTTTGTTCAATGAGTTTTTCTATAAAGGAAAATCCACTGTGGAGAATGTCCCTATTTCTAAACTGAAGAGTAAAGGTGAAGAAAGGGGAGAAGTCTTAAAGGAAAATATATTTTTAAAAGAGTAAACTGGTCCTGTGTAACTTACAGTACATGGCCATAAGTAGTGTTATCAGTGCATTTATAGAAAATATTTGGAAGAATTTTCCCAAATTCTTGTATTTGAAGAGGGATTTATTTTTTGAAGGAATAAATTTCCTTTAAATTTAGAATTAATTTAGGGAGATACAAACTCAAAACAATTTTAAAAAAGAATGGGACTATGGGAGGTTATTTAAGAGGGAGATAGTCAAGAATGAGCAGCATGATCAAACACTATCACACCAGTGGAAGCACATCCATTGTGAATCCAATAGTCTCTTGCAGCAATTTCTTTCTTCACACTTGTTCTCAAACTGCTTTCACATCCATAATAATTCCCACATGATCCTTAAAGGCCTACTGATTTGTTCCACCCCAATAAACACCCTTCTGGCCTAAGTTACTAACAGAAGAGACATTGGGATGTCTCCTGATGTCCTGGCTGTTTATCAAAAGATAAACCTAAGTCTAACTAATTACAAAAGGTTATAAAATCAATGTCACTAATAAAAACAGAACAGAGAACTTAAATAATTTTCTATCTAAAGTAACTACTCTCTGGCTTGCTTTTGAAACAAATTAAACAATTCAGAAAAACGTATTTGTTTTTTCCCATGCATAAGCTGCTGGGAACAGCTGATCTGAATTCAGTGTGATTAACTTATTCAAAGAATTAAAAAATAAATACACTGCTTTACTGACCACCTGATATAACTATTGAAATTGTGAATTTTATTATTACATCTTTAGTAGCTATTGGAGTTATATGTCGAACTACTAAATGCATATACGGTTTCTTTAAAAATAGCATTTAATTTCACTGAATTTAAATGAAATAAACTTAAATGCAACACATTAAAATGGTGCTGCTTTCACCTAATCCATGCATCTCTGCAGAACATTCTACAAATTAAGTAGAATTTTTTATTTTATCCATTCGTTCACAAACACACACATTTTGGTTTTCCAAATCCATTCCCTTACCTGAGAACCTGGCACAACAGGGTTCACCAATCTTTGGTTGGAAGATGCAATCATTTTGAGCACAGCAACAGTCTGCAAGTTCAATCATTAGTTTATGGAGCTTTTGTGAATCCACTGAAATGAAAAGAAAATGTATCCTTGAAAAACTAATTATAAAAAAAAACATTTTAAAGGGCAGCTTTTGAATAAAATAACCAAATATGTTATTCAAGGCTCAATACATTGTTTTGTATATCATCCCTGACTTGTTTTAGCAACATATGTCCTAAAATAGTAATCTTTCAACTGTGTAAGTTTATATGCATTTAAAATTTATGTATGTATATAAGTGCGCGCACACACACATGCACAATTACCTTTGATTCTGGGAGGCTTTCTTTTCTCCTGCACTAATCACCACTAACACCTAGTTCTCACAGCATTCCTACATTCTCTTCATATGCAGTTTACAGGGTTTCATTGTCTTTATGTCTGCCTGTCTGAAATACTAGGAACAAGGAACAAAATCCTGCCTAGTCCCAACTCACCCTCATATCAATGAGCTACTGAATGGAAGACTATAAAAACTTGTACAAATCCTTTAAGCTAGCCTACTCATTATGGAACCTGAAGCTCTGAAGCCAGGAATACACTGAGCAATATAGTTGAGAAAATAAATCGTATCTCAAACACACTTAGCTTTTCAACAATTTCAACTACAACACAACTGAAATGGAAATAAATCAGCTGAGCTTTTGAACTTGAAGCTGCTTTCAGTTTACAATCCTCTGTGAAAGTGTCAAGGATTTAGTTTGAGTGCTTTTTCATCTGACATTTCTCAGATTCTGAATAAATCTGACTTTTTGCCATACTTCAGGTTCAAAAAATAAGTAAGACACTGTATCATCAGCAATTGTGGAGCTGTTTTCTTAAGGGAAATCAAATGCGCCTGAGGAAAAAAACAACTATCCACCAACTATCCATTTCTTTAAAACTTCAGATTTGCGTATTGATACTGAACATTTGAAATGTTACCATAATGTTAAACTTGGCAAATTATTGGTTTCCCCACCACGACAATTTCAGTTCTTCTCTCTGATATTTACAAACATAAAAAGTCAGCTTACAGCTTCTACATTCCTCTTTAATTATCATTCTTGATGATAGTCTTGTCCTGCTTTTTCCCTATCATTATTTCCCACTATTCATATTATTCTACAAAGCCTACTCCTGTTTAAGTTCCTTGTTTCTCCTTTCTGTAGTTACACCACTTTGAACATCAATCCACACTCTTCCAATTTCCTCCCACAGCCATTTTGAGCTAGCAATGAAATCTGTCTGTTCCTCATTCTTTCTATGGCCAATCGGAAGTGTTTTAAGATTACTATTAGCCTTGGGTTGTGGTTTTATTTATTATCTGAGGATTACTTTGGATTCATACAAAGCAGTATTGAGGGAAATCAAAATGATTGCTAGAGACCACCACTTCTGCCTGAAAAGCTTCTTTCCAGCCCTTTTCTTTTCAACAATATTATTAGACTCATAGGTATCATAAATAAATGTTGCTTTCCTATTAAAATGTGCATGGAATAGGAATTATGATCTATTGCCTATCTGGAAAAAGCTACTATGTTCCATTGCTGAACCATTTAAAATTAGCTGTAAACCCAACAATTTGGTCCAATTTTCAGGCAAAACAAAATTCTAGATTGATTTTATGAGGCATTTAGGGCAAAATCCATGCTTTCATGCCCTTTATTCTCAGCTGTCTCCAGTATGGCATTCCTTCCAGTCTGTCAACTTTCCAATGAGAGAGAATCAAGATCACATGAACTGCTAATACCACTTTATAATGCCTTGATAAAACCACACTTGGAATACTGCATATAGCTTTGGTCACCACAAAGTAAAAAACATGTTGAGACTCTAGAAAGAGTGCAGAGAAGAGCAACAAAGAAGATTAGTGGTCTGGAGGCTAAAACATATAAAGAATGGTTGCTAGAATTGGGTTTGTCTAGTTTAAGGAAAAGAAGAAGTAGTGTTGACATGATAGCAGTGTTCCAGTTTGTAAAGGGGTTGCTACAAAGAAGAGGGAGTCAACCTATTCTCCAAAGCACTTGAAGGCACAGCAAGAAGCAACGGATGGAAACTAATCAAGGAGAGAAGCAATCTAGAACTAAGGAGAAATTTTCTGACAGTTAGAACAATTAATCAGTGGAACAACCTGCCTCCAGAAGTTGTGAATGCTCCAACACTGGACGTTTTTAAGAAGAAATTTGTCTGAAATTGTATAGGATTTCCTGCCTGAGTCGTGGGTTGGACTAGAAGACCTCCAAAGTCCCTTACAACTCTGTTATTCTGTTATTCAATCCTCCAATATCCCGTGCAGTGACAATTGACATCGAGGTCAACTGTAGAATTGCCAAGGCAAGTTCTGCATTTGGCAGACTGCGGACTAACGTGTGGGACCGCCGTGCTTATTCGGAACGATGATTCGAATTTCAAATGGTCCGTCGTCACGATTGATGGGATTACATACGATCACTCTGGACCTGTCACATGTCCTCCGTGCAATCCGAACTGAATTACTTCCACATGACTTGCCTTCGCAGAATTCTGAGGATCCGGTGGCAGGATAAGATACCAGATACAGATGTCCTCTCCAGAGCAGGCCTGTCATCAGTTTACAGTTGATGAAAGCCCAGATGCGCTGGGCAGGCCACGTTGTAAGGATGCCAGACCATCGCATCCCTAAACAGCTCTTCTATGGTGGGCTGTCTCAAGGAAAGCGATCGCACGGGGGACAAAAGAAGCGATACAAAAACACGCTGAAAGCATCTCTCAAGTCCCTGGATATCGATACCATCTCTTGGGAATCTCTGGCACATGATCGACCGACATGGCGTACCCTGGTTTACCAGGGTTGCCAGACATATGAACACAGAAGGACAATCTTGGCACAAGAGAAGCGAGCACTCCATAAAGCCAGAGCTGCAAATGCTGAAGCAATGGTGTCCACATTTCTCTGTTCCGTATGTGGCAGAACATTCCGTGCTAACATCGGTCTCATCAGCCATCTACGGACACACCGCTGATGGCCCATAATCCATAAGATGTCAAGGTCTTCATCGAAATCGATGGACAAACAACAATTTTCCCTTCTAATGCAAATACAACTGCCAACATAGTGGCCTTTATTTCTTACTACAATGGTCTCACTACTAGGGAAAATGTTCCCTGTACTCTTCTGTGATAGCTTAGCACCTTCCTTTCCCAACCTCCCTTCAGTTATCTTTAGTTTTTGCCTTCTCCATACCTCACCCTAAATCTCTTCTGGAGAAGTGCAATTCCATACCTGGAACAAAACAACCCCATTTTGTTCTATGTGAAAACACAATCGTGTGATGTAGCAATACTCTGCATGAAATGTTTAATGGACCAAAATTATTTTTTAGAATGAAATATATTTCTCTTTTCCAATGGATTCCAATAATCATTTTGTACCTTTTTTGACACTTTCAAAATCCTGTTTCTATAAGAAGAAATTAAAATATTCCAATGTTCCTGAAGTGATATAATTTAAAAATATGATTAAACAAAATGCTAAGATTTTCCCTGCTTCATATGGAATGCATAAAAATGCAATAGATAAAAAAATGTAATTTATGTAATGTGATGATGCTATATTCTCTGGTTCACCTGATTATCCTCAATAACAGATGCCTCCTCATAAATAGTTTATTACACTACTTAGTTTATTAAAACAGGATTTCATTTTATTTCAAACTGTAGGATTCACAACAATCTATTAATTAATGTACAATTGTGTTATGGGGCTATCAATCAAAGGAAGATTGACCTTATAGAGAAAAGGTGCCTGATGATATTGAAACATTGAAAAGAGAAGTTTTAAATTTCTTGGCTTTTCATTTTTGGGAGGTGGGAAGGCAAGAATGGAACAGGAACATTCTTAAAAATCACCCCGTTTCCAAATCATCCTGAAATAATGCTGTCAGTTACTCTGTGTCCAAATTTAGTGCAATTTAGTGTTACAGAGAGCATAAATTCATAATCTTCCCACTCGTATTATCTAACAGGAGCTCTATATTCAGAGAGGGTAGAGACAGAAAGAAAGAAAACATGCTGGAGGTTTGCTATAATTTATTTATATAAATACATATTTGTGAATGGGGGTCAATAAATATCATTTTCGTTGGCATAGTATACTTTGATTCTTACCTTTCAATTCTTTTGGTATAACATAAAATAACCCAGGATCTACCACATCTAATACAAGAGCTGATAATGTATCACCAATGGAAAATGCTGGCATTGTCCACTGCATGCTGGTAGACGTAACTGTAATATCAGATGAAAACAAAAAAAATTATACAATACTTTATGCAGCAACATCCAATGAAAATATTATGTAACATCATCATATCTTCAAAACAAGATATTCTGTACTAAGGTATCTGGTATCTTCAGGATATCTGGTATCTTCAGGATAGCATGCTACAATAATTATAATCTACTCTTAAAAGACAACAAAAAAGGTAAGCAAAATGTACCAGGTCTGGAACGAAATACTTTGTATTTCTGAGTTTTTGCCTTCATTTAGGGCAAACGTAGACATTTTATTCCATATTCTGATATACTGCAATTGGCTTGAAAGAACAGGAAAGCGCATTCCTGCTTGTCAGTGGCTGGAGAAAATTGTGATGAAGGTATAGTAGAAATGAAGTTAATTATGTAAATATTGCTGTCATTTTGGTAGGTAAGTTTATTGTTTTTAAATCCTACACTTTGGGGAAGTTAAAAGTTCATGGGTTGTACTTTCCTTGAATGTTGTGAGTGGTACATGTTTAATTTTCCCCCACGCAGGTTGCCAAACACAAAAGTGAGCTTAGGATATGTGCATTGTAGCTACAATAAAGGTTTCAAACTCCGAAATGGAAAACTATGGGTATTTTTATTGGCAAACCCCATAAAGTATGCTTAAGTCTTGCTTCCCATGTTTGTTATGAAACATGGGCAAAATGTTTTATAGAAGGCTGCTTTTTTCCAAACTTGAAACACAATTTTTCTCAGACAAGCAAATCTTAGGGATTGTCATACCATTCTAAACAACAGTAATACTACATTAGTTTGGAAATTACTTGTTATCAACTCACCTGGTAATGTATTTGGATTTAATAGTACGTCTTCTTTAAAAGCCATGTGTTTCCTTATTAATATTTCACCGATCATAGGAATACTATTAGAATTATCAATAAGCTCCACTTCAGCACCATTCTTCATTACAGAAATTACTCTGGCATGCAGTTTTTTCTCAGTTGCATACATCTGAAAGGTTGTTATAGCTTCTGTAGTCCATTTATTATTTTTGGGTCTCACACCTATGGGGAACAGAAAGAAATCTTAAGAAAACTTTCATTGCTCTTTAGAAGCTGCTTTTTGAAATCATAATAAGCACAATATTCCATACACTTCTTAAAGAGCAAGTACTAGTGATTTTAGTAGAAATTAATTCATGAATTAAAATGCTTTATGTTTTCTCAAAGCCTTAAGGATATTGCTATGATTTTTCATCTTTTGACTCTTTGGAGCAATAGAAAAGCTAGACATTATAATTTATCGTGGAGTGTCTTTTAACCTAACGACTTACTAACCTTTACAAAACTATCCTTACACGTTTGACAAGTTATATAACATAATCCTTTCTTCATAAAAAAGATACAGACCAGAGATAATTCCCTACTTCATATCGGATAATACCTTAAGTCGTAGTGGTTTGGTGCATTGACGAGTTATTCTGATGTAAATAGGAAGCATCTTGAGTTGTAATACTGCAAATTTTAGCCAATATTGGAAACTACTTTTTATCCTAGTGTCTTTTTATATTGTTTTTAAATTTGAGCTCATTTCAAATAATCAGACTAAAGATTATTTCTACATTAATTTCAAGTTAGAAGCAACTTGACATGATTTAAAGACTTGGCCATATTTACTAGTAAGTATTATGATATTTTGGATTAATTGTACCATTTTAAGGTCCCAGAATTTTAAAGCATAACATTAAAAAACAAATTTAACTTGTTTTGTTCAAAAATATAAAACGAAGATAACTTACTCAAATGTATAATGTATGCAATGAACATCTTCCAGCTTTATCAAATTATTTAGATTTTAGTTTAATATACAAAATTTAAGAGTTTCCTATTACTGAAATTACCTGAAAGCCAACATTTGATTCCCTGAAATGGAAGTTTCAAGAATGTAGATGAAATATGTCTAATTTTATCTAGAGTAATTTCTTCACAATTTCCATAATCTACAAATTGAACTTTAATTACTTCAAGTGAAATGACATCTTTTACAAAGGCGCGATACCATCTACCATCACCTAATTTAAAAGAAAAGAACATTGAATAAACATATAATTTACTTTCTTCCAGAAACCTGAGCTTAAGCAATTTTATTTAATTTACACCAATGTCATTTATAGCTAGATAAATGCAAGAAATAGCTTTTACAATGCAAGAAATACAATAAATGTAAAGCATTCAGAAAATAGTCTTCATCAAGCTGCAACAATCAAGGCATAATGTAAAACAAAACAAAACACAGCACTATTAACCTAAACTAATCATATACTTTGGAAATATGAAATAAATATTGAACAGTACGGTAAAATGGAAGATTTGCAGACCTAACAGATTTCTTTGTTATCAAATTTGATACATGCATACAACAAACTTTGATATTTCTTAAAAGAAAGAGAGGGAAAAATAATATTTACCAGAAAAATAAGCACCATATACCATCCCCTTTGTTACTTGGGAAACATTGGGTTTTGTTTTCTCACAGTACTCTGCTAAAGATAAGTTGAGTTCTTTAAGAGCATTCAAATCTGGAAAATAATTGGTTGAGATATTGAGATGTTTTAGGATTACTTCAAGGTTAATACTCTTTCTTTCAATCAGAGCCTGACTGAAGACTGCTAGTCCTTGTAGCAAAAGCCTGTAAGTCAAACATCCTAAAAGTGATCAAATAAATGCCCATGGGACACTCAAATCCAACAAGGGCCAGAAAGAAAAAAGGCCCATTGTTAAAAATAAGCGCAGAATGTACATATTCTATATAAATATGTATACAGTTCCAGGACTGTACACATATTTATTTAACTAATTCTCAGGTAATTCACCAAAGTTCTAACATAGACTTGCACAATTTGTTGTGTGAGAAGATACTTACAACTGCATACTGCATAAACGTTCTTATCTCTATAGCAGATAAGAATTGTTTTTAATTAGCTATATTGCTTTGGTGATCACACTAACACATCACATCAAATCAATTCCTGTTTGTTTCATATTTTTCCCTCCTTAATGAAACTCTTTCCCGTTTCATTTTCACTCTTTTCCAAATACTAACACAAAATGTGCTTGTTCTGCACACTAGCTTGCTATTTTGAGTTATCGCATCTCCTCCCAAGTCCCTTTACTGATGTGTCAACAGCATACATATAACATTTAATTATTTTGCCCCAAATTACAATATATTTATTTAAACTTAATGTTTATTATGTTAATGCCCTGTTCCTGAAGCTAGCAAAACTATTTCTACACCCAAAGAGGATTAGAAAGCAAAGGAGGAAAAAAAAGATGTACCGTCTTTGTTTAATAACTGGCAATAGAACTTGCTGGGATTGTACAACACAGAGACCATGACATTTACCACCTGTTTAGCTGTTAATGTGACCCAAGACCAATTAACAGGCTCCCGTTGTTCACCTATAGGAAAGGAGAAGTGAATATAAAGGGCTACTACAACTATGTTTTAATATCCCACTTAACAGATTAATAAATTAATATATACCAGAAAGGATACACTCATACATATAATCCAACTAAAATATCTATCAATTCTATTTATTTTTAGGAGCATCAGTTTTAATTTCAACATTAATCAATGGCTAAAGTATAATAAAGATAGAATATTTAAATATTTAAGGAATGGGCATTGCCCAAGGCCATCAACAGATCCCGGGACATGTCACTTTGTGCTTACTAGTCTTTTTTTCTCTCTGAATTTTACAAACTAATTTTAACAACATTCATTTGCCATGCCACAAAATGAAACATGAGCCTCTGACATCACATTTCTTTGCAGAATACTGGTGGGTTGCATAAAGTTCAAAGTAGGAATATTTTAACTTGGAGAGCTATTTTATCTTCAGAGAAGATAGTTTTTATAGGCTCCGCCCACCATGGCAGCCACTTTTAAAAACCACACCTTGTTCTCAAAAATCCACATTTGTTCCTGACCCCTAAACAATTATCTATCCTTATTCTAGTTCTTACAATTAACACTAGTAGTTTGTATTCAATCACCATTGTTCTTAAACTTAAGTTATCATCTACAGATGATAGTAATTTGTATGCTTTAGTATGAACTCATTATAGTAAATAACCTTTTATACTTACCATTTGTTTCTTTAATTGTTTCAATCTGTTTCAAAAGAATAGGTGCTTCTTCTACTGCATAACCTAACTCTAAAAGACATTTAGATACATTAACTGATGGAGTCACAGATTCATCTGTAATTTCTACTACAAAAGTGTTTATTTTCTTGTCAGTGACTTTTATGGCAACCGTTTTATTCTGGATCAGTTGCTTCATGGCAGAAGTTGCTTCTGCCAGCCAGGTCCCAGATATTGGTTTCACACCTGAAAACAGAAGGAACTTTTTTTAAAAAATCATACATTAAAAGAGAATACCTGGTTTTTCTGCGGCTGGACTTTATCTCCCAAACACTATTTTGTAAAGAGCAATCCAGTATTGCACTAACTTTTAGGAATTTCTATTATCTTTAGGGTATTTGCTTGCTTACCACTTTATGGTGTATTTTACATTTGCTGTGTTCTCTTTGTATGCATGCAAACAGAAACTCTTTTTCATACCTAAATAGTACTGTTGAAAACATTTTGTTGCACCTTAATGAAATATTACCTCCCTTATGGCTAACAAATGAGTAGAAGGGGATTCATTGTTTCATTAAAGAAAGTAGAAAAAATATTTTTGCCAGCTTGGTTTTGATCCTTGTAATACACACCTATTTAATTTAGCAGAGAAGTGTTAAAGGTACTTTCCCACTAAAAGGAATACTGGGGAGTTTAATTTCCCTCCCTTCTTTGCACATATAATTCCATTGATGTACCAATATCAAGGTGTAGATAGACAAATATGTCAGTCAGCCAGTTAGCTAGCCAACATGATTCTATCATTTTTTCCCTACCAGTTTTCTCAAGATGTCACTGTTTTTTGTTGCTTCCTCTTTATCTACTTAATGAAGGAAAAATAGTGCACCCAAAAAATTGGCAAGCAAATTGAAATACATGTGATTCAAAAACAAACTTCTAGTTCAGGTATGTCAAATTGCTGGCCCATGGGCGGTTGCATCATGCAGAGGCCGCACCCACCCCAGCTCCAGCAATGCAAAAAAGACCATGACACACTGCAACACATCACGTGATGTGGCGAGTTTGACAACCGTGTTGTAGTTGAAAAAACAAAAGGATCTCGTAACGTTAGACCTGAAGGTGTCTACAGCTGCAAAGTTAAAATCTCTCACTGGATGTAATTTTTTATTTACTTGAAGCAGCTTGTTTCAACACATTTGCATTTCAGCTAGTTTACACATTCAGTATGATACTGAGCCCTGTGATTTTGCTGAACAAGTATCTTTTGGCTCACCTGGACTCGGCATTTATGCACTTTTAACTGCTTAGATTTTTTCATATATAATAAAACACCTTTGACATGAACTATAAAAGATGAGACACTGTCTGTCAGTATTCGTGTAAGAAACGCCTTCAAAATCAATGGAAGGGTGCTTTTGGTTTGAAAGGATTTTCTGGTGACAACACTGTTGCGCAGGGGCCACCCAATTGCCAAAAGAAATGCAATCTTTGGGGAGACTCCTTGTGTTCTCCCACTGGTCAAAGCGCCACTCAGCTCATGTCATATTCTCTGGGATACTCACAGATTACTACAAAGATGTTTCTGAGAATTTGCAGAGAAATAATGAAAAAATATATAAAGTAATTAATATGATACTGCTGTTTTCATCTATACATACAGATTTCTTATAGTTTTATGGCCCCGATGAAATTATGTTGGAAGTTACTATCTTTAATTCTTAATAACTGAGTTAGTCAACAGGAGACTTTCTAATGAAACATTTAAAAAATGAAACCTTAAGGAATTCTTTACAAAAAGTCATTGTTCCCTCAATAATGAATTCATAATTATTTGTTTCCTACCTGCAAGGGTACAATTTATAGCTTGCATTGGTAATTCCATTAATTTCTGAACAATTGGTCGAAGTCTATTTAACTGTAGAATTTCAAAGTTTCCATAATCTATGTATCCCACTAAAACAATTTTCTCTGAAACAAAGGATATCACTGTTGCACGATACCACTGGTTATCTTCTGAGGAAAAAATATGGAGTAAGCATATTTAGTCTTAACTATTTTTTCTTTAAAAGTGTATCAGTGGTGATACAACCAAGAAAACTACAATGTTAAACTACAACATAAAATAAAGTTTGATGTAAAAAATAAAATCAGAAAACAATAAAGTGCCCAATACACAAATAAAGGCAGTAACAATAGAGACAGTTCTAATCCTTTCAAAAACAAGATACATTGAGCCTGTCAAACTATTTTACTGCTTATTCTTTAAAATGAAAATACTAGTGCTTCAAAAGAGTAATACATGTAAATAAAGTAGAAGGGAAAAGAGAAAGAGGTTTGCCAAAAGCTGCTCGACCCTAGTCAAACTTTGCATTTTATAATAGTATAAAGTTTCAACAATAGTCTTATACTATTTTTGTTTCTCTTCTAATACTTCCATTTCAGTGCTAATGCTAAACCTAAAGCCAGTCTGGAATTTAAAAGATCACTTTCCAAATTGGTTTTAGAAAACAGCACCCAAAAGAGAATGGATTTGATTGTGGTAATGTAATACTTCTGAGGCCTGTATAGATTTCTTCAAAAAGGGCTATATGTCTCATTATTTAATAGTGCATTCATATCCTAACTTCTCACCCAATAGTTTTAATTTATTTTTAACTTACCATGATAAATGCAGGTTAAGAAAGCAGTCTAGCTTTTGTTTACTTTTGTTTCATTAATATAAAATTCAAGCAGGTTTTTACTAAAATTGCATTATATAGCCTTAATAAATACAGTACATATTAGCTGCTAATCATTATTCTTGTTATTTGTTTTCTTTGCTGAACATTAGATTCCAAGTAAGCTTGATGACCTATTCTTTGAATATACACACTGAGGATTTCTGATTAGTACAAATAGAAATGACATAATATTGATTAATGACAATGACAATAATAAATATTCAAGCAGTCTTTTCCTCCACCATACCTGTAAACTGGGCACAACACATATCTCCTACTGCTGGGCAAAAGTCTGGGGTGATTGAGGTATTTGCACAATATTCACGTAGGGATACTTGAAGTTGAGAAAGGCTGCCTAAAAACACATATACTTACATGAAAATTGCTACTTAAAAAAGAGCAAAATATGTTTCAAAAATGCATGGTTACAGTAACATTGCCCTTTTTATTTAGCCTGCTAAGACTTTCACTTGGACCTGAAATCAGTTTTGAGATTACAGAAAAACTTAAGTCATTTATATAGCTCATAATAAATTATAAAATATAAAACAATTTTGAGATGGCATTTTATATTTTAATGCTGTATAAGTCTGCAGTTTACATTTTAATGCTGTTCTCTGCCCATGCTCATTATCACACATAAATGCCTCTATCTTATCTCAATAATTTATTAAATGCACAAAATATGTGGGTGCACAAGTATTTATAACATAAATACATAACATAAAAGAAGAACTTACAGCCATTTTCTGTCTGTTGACAAAAAAAATTTCCTGGGTTTTGTATGTGGGCAACCATGCCCAAAAATGCATCTCCTATAGCTACTGAGACAATCTCTGGAGTTAAGCAATCAGTACCATCCAATTCTTTCCATTCCATTTTCTTTTCTACAACAGATTTTTTTTCCACAGTAGGATCTAAGGGAAAAATAGTACTTAAAATCTGATTTGCAAGGTCTAGTTACACATTTAAGAATTTATGTAGAAAGATCCCTCGCTTTTCTAACTAAACACTATTAAAATTAAATATTTGTTCCCTATTTCTAGTATTCAATCTATGAACGCCAATACAATTAATCCAGAGTTTACAAAGGTACATGAAATTCATTAGTGAAAGGAAAGATATTCCTTCCCACCATATAGACTGAACATATTCGAGCAAAAACAAAACCTGGATGGAAAAGGGGAAAAAATTGGACTATGGAAGATTGGTTGCAACAGTGATGAAGGAATTTGTACTATCACAAAACTCAAACGTTTTACAGAACTATATTGTCTCAGCCAGAATAGTATAGGGCATACAATCACATAGCAATCTAAAAATATCAGTATTTCATGATCTACAGGCCCTCAAAGTGTAAAAATGAATAAATTGCTATCTTATGGAACGGGCTTTTAGGCCACTGATTCTAATAAATTACAGACAAATCCTACAAAATAGACCAGTCAGGAAAATGATCTGATTATAGCTCTTTTCAGATGAGTATAATTTCCTACTAGTTGTCCATTGTCTCAAAAATTCAGATCCTGGTCCATTTCCCAATGCTGTGTAGCTGTTCATTCATTTGCAATGTTCTTTTCTTCTCCAGTTCTCTTTTATAGATTAGGTGGATGGATGAGAACCCCAAATGTTGTACTTCTTTCCTAGATCTTTCAATGTTCTAAAGTAGTGCATGTTTCTTGACTTGAACTTTGCCTGAATTCATATAGTTTAGATGGGGGGGAGGGGAGGAAGCCCAATGAACTTACCCATAGCTGAAGTTTCCTTCTTACTATCCTTCTTCTTTGCATTCCAATCATGCATATTTTCCAAGATAATTTCATGCAAATGTTTACCTATTAATACACATAATGTGACATATATTACCTACAGTTTATACAAAGATATTTGCAAAATGTTTTCAAAGCCACAATTCTGACTTCTTAAAAATCATAACTTAGTCAATATAGTTTTAAAGGATATTATAGTTTAACAGTAGAAAAAATATTGCAAGTGAAATATCTTGCAAGTGCTTATATCTTTATAAAACAGACATTTGCATACACCTAACAAAAACAAAAGTACATCAAGAAAACAAATCCATTACAGAGTTAGCTAAATATGTATGAACTAATCAATATTAACCATTCTAAACCAATTTTTAACACTAATCTTGAACTGTCTTCCCAAAGAATCAAAAAGCATTTACATTTTCTCCACAGTACAGTAGAGATACAATATATTTGGGAACTTCAAGCCATTATTTTGTTGGTGAAAGCCTTTATGCATGATTACTCTACCAATGGTAGTTACTTGCACATAACAGAGGAATAAATACACATGGCTAACCAGAAGAATCTTTGTTTACCAGTCTACCAAATGTCTATCAAGATTCTCAATCATCCATGGCTGTCCCAAAGGTGCTTTTTCCAAAAGGCAATTAGAATTCCTTGATTTTTTCTTTGAAATTGTTTTGTTTCTCATCTAAGAAGTTTCTTCTGTTCTAACTAAATAAGCTTCTTGGATAAGAAGCAAAACATTTTCAAAGAAAAAAACCAAGGAAGTCCAGTTACCTTTTGGAAAAAGCAACTTTAGGACTATATGTTGGCCAGGACTTCTCCCAAGACTGCATGCTGAACAGCAGGTGATCTCTTTCCTCCTACCAGCAAACAGCTGATTATGTTGCCAAAGCCAGCTATTTGGTGGTTTGCTCTCCAGATTTTAATGGGAACAACAAGGAACAACCCGAGATGACCTTCAGGTGACTGCAAAACCTTCAGAAAAGAGGAATCTTGAAGATTGCAATTCTTGGTAGGAGCGATCGGAGGTTTGGGTTTTCCATCTTTTTTCTTCAGTTGTTCGTTATTTTTTAGACATATCTTCATTTTAATTATACATTTTACAGTAAATCTAAGTGTATTTATAATTAATTTCTGCCTAGTTTAATATTTACTTCCAAGTATTTAGACCATAACATCAAAGGATTTTTAAAAAAATAATCTTACCTTCTTTATAGTTGTGTTTGGCAGACACTGCCAAATATTTGACCAACTACAGAATAATTTTTAGGATAAATGTTGTATTACAAATTAAACAAGCCACTGTTGACACAGTATGTACCCTGGAGTACTATAGTTACGCACATTTCAAAAAACAATTTGAAAAAGTGATTTGGAGATCATGGGAAAACAATGTGTCTTTGATGCTCACTATAAGCCTAATTTTTGTCAGGTTTCGGGGGAAGGGGAGAGTCTACTTTAGAGTCACATTAACTTAAATGACAAGATTTTTCAGATTTATATGAAAATCTGAAAAAAGAGCTAATGCAATAGACAGCAATCATGTGAGTTTCTAAACCAGGCCTGCACTGGACCACAGGTCACACGTGGTGACCCTCAGCCGTCAAACTACATGCTACTGAAGTCCTCCAAGCTTTACTGCCACTACCAATTCCAATATTGTGACTGCTTCACTGAACAGGTGAACAGCATGCCAGGTAGACTTTTGTAATTATTTTTAATTTATTACAAATTGCATAGCCTGTTATAAATAATTAATTTCAAATCATTCTGAAGATTACACAGTACAGCAAAATGTTAGAATTGCAAATTAAGAATTATTTTTGTAATAAAATATAAATATACTTGACTTCTATATTGAATGATTGCAAAATATTTTTAAGTAGCAAAAATTGCTTATTTATAATGCCATGAGTAATCTTGTGGAATAATTAAAGCACAGCAAACAAAGACTTTTTATGCAACCCATAAACCCTTTCAACATGTTTTCTGACATAGTAACAGGAATATAATTTAGGAGAATTGTTAAATGCAAAAGTTTATTCACTAAACTTCATTGTAGGAATTCTTGTTTAATAAACAATTGTTATAACAAAAATATAAATTATTACTGTTATCTAAACTTACCATAATCTGACAAGATAGCATCTACAATAAAACAAGGCATATCATCCATCAAAACATCAGTGATAATTAATGAACAATATTTTCCTATAAGAATTGGAGCAATAATATCCTTGTAGTTTTCATTCCATTCTTTTATATTAAGAACATTAGCAATGCAACATTTAATGGCCTAAAACAAAGCAAAATGTACCTTAGAAAGTCGGTTATGTTAGTTACAAGAAAACATAAACAGCCTAGTACTATTAAAATATACAGAAGCTCTTAAATAGTCAAAACATAGGTGTCTTGGGGAAAAATTATGATAATTTCTGTATTTTTAAAAACTCTTTCTTTTAAAAATATATGAGTATGCAACTATTCCAGTGTTCAATACATCTACTTAAACGTTTTCTCCAAATGCAACAACCTTATTCTGCATTCACAGATTACCAAGAATGGAAATCAATATTTATAGATCCTTGACCAAGAATCAGGATAAAACTTAATTCCATCAAAAAATCTCTCATGTCATAAGTACTGCACAGGACAAAAATAGCTGAACTTTTGATCATTTTATTTATTTTTCTTGGAACAACATTTTCAGAATATTTCATTAGATTTTTTTTTTTTAAAAATCAGATTATATTCTCTTGCAGTCAAAATTTGGATACTTAACACATTCTCAAAGACATGGTACATTTTCCTCAACATTTCTTACATATTTAAACTTATACTTACGCAGGGTGGGATCTGTGAAAGATCTTCATTCAATCCTTTAATTTTGTGTAGTAGTATATTTTCTCCTTTTCCATAGTCAATATACAGTACTTGAGCACTATTTGTGAGGATATCTATCTCTTTTATGAGTACCCTGCACCAAGTCTGAATGTGAACAAATTACTTAGCTGCAGAAAAAATATTCACTATGATCTTCTTTACTAGAAGTTGTCTTCAATTCACACACTACCTTACAGTATAATTTTGTACTTTTAAATTATTTAGTTAATGGAAGCAAATCAAATAATCTGTTCTTCCTAACATACAGACCATCCTTTCAATAGGCAGTATATGGTTATATTAACTTCAATATTACATACACTTAAATAATATGACATATTTCAGGTGATATCACCTATTTTAAACAATAAAAACACGATTAGAATCATCTCTCTTAATTTTCTCAGTACTTTTCACCAGTTTTCATTTTACTGGAAAAAAGAAACCAGAATTTTGTACAGCAATTTCTATGGCATTTCTTGTTTTGGCTAAATTACAAGTTACTAGCTATTAAATACCACAATTACACTTAGTCAAAAAATAAATATGAATCTATTGACCTGATATAGCCAGATATAAAAAGAAATGCTATATTGTTGGTAATCTATACTTCAGGATAGCTTCTACAATTGTTCAGTCAAAAAGGTAGGTGTGGATGCATATACCACATTTGGTGCCTCCTTAAAGAAGTAATTTATTTTTATGTCTTCATAATTGTTGCAAAATTCCAGAAAAATACGTATTTAAATTGAGGAGGTCCCAGCAGTGCCCGTACTTCTTCTGAAACTTTTTGCACCCCTAAGTGGAAGCACTGACATCCATAATAGTCTGTAAAATGCTAACTGATCATGTATGTATACTCTAAAGTATGTATACTATAAAGTTAATTTACCTGATCCAGAGGATATTTTGCAACAGCAACTTCTCCTTTGACAGGAGTATATACTTGATTAATTCCCTTGTAATCTTTCAGTTTCATTATTAGTTTTCTAATATTACTTTGAACTTCAGGAGAATTGACTTGTATGTAGAATTCACTAGGACTATTAAAATGTGTTATTGTACCCTAGAAAAGAAATGATTTTTGAAAGTTTGTCTTTAACATTAGATTTACTCAAACAAGTACATATTGATCACCACTGAATACATGAACAAAGTTACTCAAAGCATAAAAATTTAAAGGATTCTTATCAAGAATGAAATTAAAATCATTTCACAGAGAGTAAGGTAATCCTTGCTTAATGACCCTAATTGGGACTGGAATTTGTCCGATTCACTTAAATATTAATCCATTGTGTAATACACTGACGTCGTGAATGGTTGTCATCAAGGTTATCAGGACTAATGCAAATAATCCGTTTCTGATGTGACAACAATCCGTTCCCGGAGTGCGAAGTGGACGGGACGCACTTGACGGGCCGAGGAAGAGTGACGACGAAGAGGTTGGTCCAGACCACCAGAGGGAAACGTAGATGAGACTGCAATGCCCTTGCCTCCATTTCAATTCCTCCCACCAGTCTATCTTCCCCATCTCCATCCTTTGGGCAGCAGGCTCTGCCATTTGCATCCTGCTGCTCCCAGGTGACCTTCACTGTCGCCTTCCAACTTCTGCTGACCTGGGATCCAGGCGCTGGGTGAAGGTGTGGCCCAAAGACAGGCTTAGAGAGTACATCAAAGCTTTGTTGGCCAAAGAGGAGCTTGACAAGCCTGATCAGGGAGGAGGCAACGGGATGCAGTTAGTGGAGAAAACGTGATGGTGGTGTGAAGCAGCTCCCCAGGCAAAGGCAGCCAGGACTGTGCAAAGCCTTGCAATCCTGGGCCAGCAGCAGAAGGAAGAATACAACAAAGGCCACTTGGGGGAGAGGAGGCAGGACAGGTGGCAGTGGTTGTTGTGGCTCCGTCCGGTGGGTCCCTCTCATCAGAGGAGGAAGGCTCTGAACATGACGGAGAGGAGATGGCTAGGTCTCCCTCTCCCGGCCCTTCCCCTCTGGTGCAGCCTTCGGTGCCTTCCGACAGCGAGGAGTTTGGCCAGGAGCCCGGTGTTTCTGGGATTGGCCAGGAGCCAGAAGTATCGGATTCAGAAGAGGAGAAGTTTTGGCTGGATCCACGCCAGCGTCGAAGAGATAGGCGTGCGCAGCAGCAGACACGTCGGGCCAGACAATTCCGCTGAGTCACTGGGCCACACCCCACTGGCTATATAAGCAAGGGGTGTGGCATGTGAATTTTCGTGACGGACAAAGTTTGATGAACACTCGGTTGCAAGCATTCTGGCAAGTTCTCGTGGCTTATATTTGTTTGCTGTGGTTTATCATTNAAGGCTCTGAACATGACGGAGAGGAGATGGCTAGGTCTCCCTCTCCCGGCCCTTCCCCTCTGGTGCAGCCTTCGGTGCCTTCCGACAGCGAGGAGTTTGGCCAGGAGCCCGGTGTTTCTGGGATTGGCCAGGAGCCCGGTGTTTCTGGACTTGGCCAGGAGCCCGGTACTTCTGGAACTGGCCAGGAGCCAGAAGTATCGGATTCAGAAGAGGAGAAGTTTTGGCTGGATCCACGCCAGCGTCGAAGAGAGAGGCGTGCGCAGCAGCAGACACGTCGGGCCAGACAATTCCGCTGAGTCACTGGGCCACACCCCACTGGCTATATAAGCAAGGGGTGTGGCATGTGAATTTTCGTGACGGACAAAGTTTGATGAACACTCGGTTGCAAGCATTCTGGCAAGTTCTCGTGGCTTATATTTGTTTGCTGTGGTTTATCATTAAAGACTTGGCAGGCAGCTACGAAGTGGCTGCCAAGACATTCCGTTGCCTTTGTCTGTGCCGAGTAGTTTGTCAGGCCTCGGCTGACTGGTTGGGGGGTGTGGGTCGGACGGGGGACAGAACAGTGGTTTAGTGCATTCCAAAGGGTAGAGACAGGGGAGGTAGATAGTCAGCTGAGAAGAGTTGAAGTGCGCATTGTAATCATAAATGTGGGCTAATTGCCAAGCACCCAAAATTTGATCAAGTGACCACAGGGATGTTGCAACTTCCATAACTTTTAAGGATGGGTATAACTACCATTTGTTTAGCACTATCATTGAATCTAACAACAATAAAAAGTTGTTAAGATGGGACTATCTGTATTATTAATTTAGCTAGGTCTTTGTAGTTGTAGCGTTACCTCCTCAGAGGCCACCAAAACCCAGGCCCTCCCAGCCCCGTCCCCCTTTGTCAAGCCCTGCAGTAGTGTTCTCTAGGGATTGATGTCTCTTCCAGTCGGAGGCCATGCAGAATTAGGAGGTAGCAGGCTCTTGTCGTCAAGGAGGGGCTTCCAGGAACGAAATAACCAGCCACGATAGTCAATGCTATGATGATATCCAACAGCCCAAGGCCGTTATAGCCGCAGGAATTAAGGATTCCTTAGCGGTCATTCAGAGTCAAGTGGGATGGAGGAAAACCCCGGCTCCAGACGGTAGTAGAAACAACAACAGTCAGTGTTCTGTAGCAATAGCTCGCCCCCCAGGGCAACTCCCCCACAAAGTCTAAAACCTGTACCAGCAACTATAGTCACAGTCCAAATAGCCTCCAGGCTTCGCAGCAACAGTAGCCACCACCAGTCTCTCCTCTCCTTCTGTTGCTTCTCAGTCAGGTCTCGGCGTCAAAGCCCTCCCCCCCCTTTATCTTTATTGTTAAAATCCGAGGCTAGGAGCCTCAGCCAACTCCTTTCTACATACTCCCCCTTGCCTCTGTTTGAGATATCCTCCTTACGAAGGAAGCAATAAAACTCCACTCTCTCTCTCTAGCCTGTTTAAAATATCCTCCTTACGAAAGCAAATAAAACTTCCACTCCCTCTTTACCTTCACCTGACGAACTGCAACAGCCACACACCACACCCTTCCTTTCCTTCCCTTTTCTATCTTTTTCTTCAGCCCACACTGCCAAAGCCAGCAGCAGCTATCCCAATCTCTCCCTTCCCAACCAAGCTCCTGCAAACACTCTCAGACAGCCCCGCTACATAGTTATGAGGACCTCACTATACAAAATACATTGAAATGTAAAATCAGAACTTACTTTGATTTTCACATTTTTCTGAAGTCCTAAATAACTCAGATCAGACAGCATTATTTTCTTCCCTTGTTGGTTTACTTTTTTAGTATTCATTGGTAATATATTTTCCTGTTAGAAGCAAATGTTTACATTTGATTAATAATAATCCCATTTTCCTACTTAAAAGAACTCAAAAAGATTAAACCATCTAAGAAATAAGTATCGTTGGTGAATTTATAAGAGGCATTATACTTTTGAGTATAAGCTAGCATTTACAAAATAAGTAATTCTTATTCCTTTCTTCTTGTAACATCCAGAGTAACTTCAGAAACCTTCTAGGGAATATCAAGAAGTCCTCCAAAATAATCACTAGAGAAATGAAAATGTAATATGGTTACTGTGAAAATAGAAAGAAATTGGAAAGAATGCTTTACTATCTGGACTGATATTATTACTTAGTAGCAACAATTCTTGTCATATTAATCATATTAATATTTAAACCATAATTGGCAACTAACAACCAAAGTCAGCAGGGAAACTGGAAGAAAACTGTAAGTCTGAGGCCAGCAGGCAAGTGGCAGGAGTGCATGGGGTGCAGGAGAAACACCACATGGTCAATGTGGGCCATGGGTTGGAAAACGTATGCAAGTGTGCAAAAGAGATGCTTTGCAGATCAGGAAAGGTGTAGCGAGCATGCATGAGTGGTGTATCGCAGGTAGGGTGTGTGAATGGCTGGCATAAGTGCAGATAGTTTAAGGACAGTGTGCGGGTGGAGAAAACTTAGCCCAGCAACTTGTGATTTTCCCTACTAGACCATTGACTTTCTCAGCAGAGAAATTGCAAATGGCAATCATGCAATGGTGGGATGCTGGACAACTGGTCATAAATGCTAATGCCAAGCACCCAGATCATGATCACATGAGTGCAAGGGAACTGCAATGTAACTTTGGGGACTGGGCATATATCCCTTAGATCAGCATTGTTGTAACTTAGAATAGTCATTGAATAAACGGTCATATGTCAAGGACTACATGTATTGGCAAAAAATGCCTGAAATAGTAGAAAAGGTAAAGGTTTCCCTGTCGGCCATGTCCGATTCTAGGGCATGGTGCTCATCTCAATTTCTTGGCTGAGGGAACCAGTGTGGTCCAAAGACAATTTCCATGGTCATGTGGCCAGCATGACTATACACCAAAGGCACATGGAATGATGTTATCCTCCCACTGAAGTGGTACCTATTAATCTACTTGCATTTTCATGCTTTTGAACTGTTAGGTGGGAAGGAGCTGACGCAAGTAATGGGAGCTCGGGTCTCGAACCTAGGCTGTCAGCTCTCCAGCTGGCAAGCTCAGTAACTGTAACCACTGAGCCATTGGTCTCCACAGAAATAGTAGCTGAATGTAAAATAAATAAAACCAATCAGCAGTGTTACTTACTGTTGCAAAAAAGGCAAATGTATTGATATGCTATATAAAGAGAAGTGTACTTTCCAAATCAGGAAAATTATCAGTTTTCCTTTATTCTTTCAGTTCAGTTCAGTTCTGATCACTGCATTTTAAGGGTTCCGAAAAACTGGAAATGGTTCATTAAAGAGCAGCAAGTATTATCAAACTCTAGAAACTATACTCTATGAAGAGAGGCTGTTCAGTCTTAAGAAGAAAGATAGGGTATTATACATCTCTTTCCAGTACCTTCTGAAGGTTTGGCTTGTTATCATTCCTGAGATCAGAACATGGAATAAGTTCTAGGAAGGAAAGTTCCACTTGAAAAAAATATCTAACAGTAACACCAATTTTTTATTGTCTTGAAGCAGAAGTCTAATAACTATCTATTAGGAATATTATGCTGATTCTTGGTTGTACCAGGGCATGGCAGACTAGATCAGGGGTCCCCAACCTATGGGCTGCAGCCCGGTACCGGACTGCGGGCTCTTGGCCAGTGGGCCGCAGAAATGGCTGGCCAGGGCACCCACGTGTGGGCACGCATTTCCCCCCCACACTAGCGCCCACAGCCGTTCTCGCATGCATGCAGGCGCGAACGGGAACGCTAGCAGGGTACATACGTGCCCATTTGTGCATGAGTGAACGGGCCGCTAGCACGGGGTGTGTCCGCGCAGCCCATTTGCATATGAGCAAACAGGCCACTAGTGCAGGGGTGTGTGTGCAGCCCATTTGCGCATGTGTAAATGGGTGCTAGCTGCTGCGGGAGTGCATGGGCATTTTGCGCATGTACTACTACTGCACCAGTAGGCGTGGTCCCGTTTGCAGGCATGCACGCGTGCACACACACAGTAATTTGGAAGCTGGTCTCCCCTCCGGGTCGCAAGCCCGGAAAGGTTGGAGAACTCTGAACTAGATGGTTTGAATCATCCATTTCCAAATGTATAATTTTAAATGAGAAAAGTGTTACAAAGAGAAAGGATGAATATACAGACATAATCAGAATAGTATAATGAAGTTTCTCAACCACAGAAGAAAATTCCTCTCACCATACCTTTTTATTGCTTTCATCCAATGATTTTCTACAATATTCAGCTTTATTTGTACTAAAAGGAATAATTTAATTCATTAGTACAATTGTTCAGTTCAATTGCAAGGTTATTTCATTTAAAGATTATTATGTTGTGGCAGTATAACTTTGTGCCACTTTATAAAGTTCTAGTTGATCAAGAAATACTGTTATTTCATATGTTGCTTGCTTAAACCAGAATTCAGCAATATGTTCAAAACTGAATCTCTTAAAAAGAGTATTAATCATTTAATTTAAGCAGGGGCAGGAGTTAAGGCTAACATGACTGGAAATGGAAGCCCCAAGGTTCTCCTAAGCATATAAAATTCTTGGAACAAAAAAAAAATCCACATATGGTGGCCCCAGAACAACTGAGCCAAGGAGTTTAAATACTAATTAAAGAGTGTGCAAAATATTTCAAATTCAAAATGTTCAATCTGCTGGTAGTCTGACATAGTTCTTACTAGAATATTTCTGGTAAAATCAGAAATATTATTCTTAACATGGAAAAGACTGTTTCAAGTTGGAAAAAGCAGCTTTGAGCTAAATACATCTCAGAGTTTAAAGGTTTTGCACATAAATACATGGAATACTTATTTTTATTCTCACCAGCCTGCAAGGTAGTTAGATCACACTTGAAAAAAATAAGGCCTCAAACATGCATGGTACTTCACTGTTGCAATAAATATATTGCAGAGCAAGTACAACTATACAAATTGTACTTCTCAATCTAAAGACTCTTTTCGGGAGAGTAATTTAGATGAAAAAATAGTATGGCTAAAGAATTATAGAAAATTGGGTCAGCTACAAAATAATCTCTCAAATTATTTTTTTACTAAGCAAAATGCTCTGAACATTTCATGAATTCCTAGAATGATGCTAAATAACCTGAAAAAAACCTAAAGAAAAAAAAAGCACATTGCAATTAAAGATAGCAATGGTCAGTCATAGAAAAAGCAAAGACATAAGAATTTGAATGTTTCTTTCAACTATTATATTCCTTAAATAATTATTATTTTAAATTATTTTAATTTATAAAATAATAATTATTTAATAATTATTTAAACCATTATTTTTAATTATTTTAACATTAGGTTATTTAAAATAAGCATTTAAGCCACCCAGAATTGCCTTTCTTCTGTTTCAAAAAATTTTGAAGTCTTTAAAACTATTAAAAATGGGAAATCTTCAGGTTCTGATACACAGAGTATTTTAAAATCAATTTAAAGATGTCTTAATACCTTAATTTTTACTTTTATGCAATACTTGCATTGGAAAGATCCCTTACCAGAGTCCTGGAAAGAGTCTGAGGTAGCTCTAACCTTTAAACTAGGTAAACATTTTCAGGAATTGACAGAGGATCATTTCACTTCTTAATACAGATTTTAAAATCTACAAGAAATTATTAGCTAACACCTAAAACAGGGGTAGGCAACCTGGGCTCTTTTATGACTCGTGGATGCTGGCTCAGGAATTCTGGGAGTTGAAGTCCACGAGTCATAAAAGAGCCCAGGTTGCCTACCCCTGACCTAAAATGACTATAAATAAAATTACTCACATAAATCAATTTGGTTTTATTCCAAAAACACATATATTTCCCCTACTAGGAATTATTACACAAATTGCCAAAATGAATAACTCTTCACTAGCTCTATGCTCATATATATATGTGAAGTTTTTGATTCTCTGGAATTACATTTTTTAAAAATAAATACAAGTAGTCTGGTACTTATTTGAGCCCAAAATTTCCGTTCCTAAGCAAAACAATTGTTACGTGAATTTTGCCCCATTTTACCACAGTTTCTTGCCACAGTTAATTGAATCACTGCAATTATTAAGTTAGTAACACAGTTGTTAAGTGAATCTGGCTTCCCATTGACTTTTCTTGTCAGGTGACAAAAGGTGATCACATGTCACTGCAAGTGTCATAAATATGAACCAGTTGCCAAACATCCAAATTTTAATCATGTGATCATGGGAATACTACAACAGTCATAAGCATGAAAAACAGTCATAATTCACTTTTTTCAGTGCTGTTGTAACTTCAAACGGTCACTAAATGAATGGTTGTAAATCGAAACTATCTGTATTATAAATATATAAATTTAAAAATATAAATTTAAGACTGGCTTTTGTAAGATATTGGTCACAATTATCTCTCTACTACTAAAACTCTGTCATGAAACTGAAGCAGTCATCACAGGGCAGCAATTTTTTAAACAAGGTATATCAAATGCCCTAGCTTACAAAACAGGTTCAAAATCTGAGACCCATAACTTCTGAGGGAATGAAATTTGAGGACATTGTGGCTGCTTCAGTGCTACTGGCTGCTGAGCTTCATTTTCAATATTCTGTGACAGTTTCCCAGCCATTCTCACAATCTCTTGCTCCCTCTCCCACCCAGGAGCAGCCACTTACTGTACTTGCCTGTTGGGAAGGAAAAGGAAATTTCCGATGCCTCCTACCAGATTCCCACCAGGAAACAGAACAGGGAAGCCAGCAGAAAGTTGGAAGTCACTCCTGCTGCCACTGCTTTTTTGCCCACCCTCAATCATTGTTTCTCTGTTTAGATATGAAAATATCTCTGAAATGGTTGATTCAACAGGGCACAGGTTGTATAGTGGATAGCTCAGATAAAACTTAACTCTTATGACTCTATTCTACTGAAAAATTCTATAGTAATTGAGTACTGTTTTGTATCAATCTTTATTACTCAACGTAGCTATTGAAGCTCTGACAATAGAACCAATGAATAGACTTATGGCATACAATTAGGTAATAAGAGCTATCTTTGAAATTTATGATATGATTCTGACTCTTTTGAACACCTCCCATTCAACTAACCATATCAATAAAGCCTTAAAGAGAAATTTGAAGGGAAAGTTGAAAAGGAAGCTCAAAATCAATTTAAGGATTCCAACTATATATAAATCTTTATAGTATTTAGGGATCAATATTACCAAAATATTAATGTTTATCAATAAACTTATGCCTACAATGAAGATATTAAACAAGAAAATGAAAAGTTGGGCTAACAATATTTCAGGATGGATTGCAACTGCCAAACTGAAAATCCTTCAATGTTCAATATTTATCGGTGGAAATTCCAAAACAGGTTTTAATATATTGTACACACAGGCAAGAAAGTGCTTAGAGAACTGGACAATCACTATGATCTGACTCATATGAAAAAAAGGGAACCTAAATAAAGAACAGATAAAACAATGAAAGGTAACAAATTGGCATGGTTTTTGGTATCAATTTAAATAATTATTGGATAATACAGAAATTATAATTTCATTAATTAGCCCTTACACCAATTTTGAGACTTAACTATCTAGAACAACTAAAAGGATGGATTTCAAAAATAGGTTCTTGTAGAATTATTCACTGCTGGCACTTGACTTATCAGATTGACACAACTCTGGAGAGGTTGTCACCAAAAAGCTCTGTTTTTAATTTATGGGGGCTGTGTAATCAAGGACTACACAGGTAGTACTTGATATTTGACATTTATTTAATTATGATTCAAAGTTACCAGTCTTGGAATAAATGACTTACAACACATCCTCAAAGTTTTGACCATCACACCATCATTTGGATGCTTGGCAACCAGCTCACATTTATGATAGTTGCAGCATTTTGTGGTTGCATGATTGTGATATGTGATCTTCCCAGCTGGCTTCTGACAACCATGATTTGCTTAATGATCACAGTGATCTGCTTAACAACTGCAGTAAAAATGGTCATAAAATCAGGTCCACTCATGTGATGACTTGCTTAATGACTGCATCATTTAGTGTCCAAGATTCCAGTTCCAATTGTGGTAGTAATACAACTCCCCCCCAAAAAACCAACCAGAGGGACGAAATAAATAAATCTCCCTATGTTAGTGTTATTGCATTTACTTATTGCGTTTAAAGGTTAAAAGCTTTTTATTTATCTTAGCAGTGAAAATAATATTCACCTAAAAATAACATTGAAAACCCTTAGATAATTTAACAACTTCTAGAAAAGGTTCCAGATAAAGTAAAAATATAAAATAATGTTAATTATCTGCGTAGTGGAACAGTGGTTAGAATGCAGTATTGCAGGATAACTCTGTCCATTGCCAAGAGTTCAGTCCTGACTGGCTCAAGGTTGACTCAGACTTCCATCATTCCAAGGTCAGTAAAATGAGGGCCCAGATTGTTGGGGGCAATATGCTGACTCTGCAAACTGCTTAGAGAGTGCTGTAAAAGCATTATGTAGCAATATATAAGTCTAAGTGCTATTGCTATTGCTAAAATACAAGAAGTAGCAACCACAATTCTATAAAATGTAGATGGACTTTACATTATTTTAATCTCAACAGTTCTACCAGCAACCCTTTGGATCAGAGGTGCCATGGAGAAAGATTTTTCTGCGGACCAGAGGGAATGTGGTTTTGAATACTGCCTGGATCCTGAGGATGGAGCTTTGCTTGTTTGTGCAGCCTTCTTGCTAGCATGCTGTGGATCGGTGCCGATCCACGGACCGGAGTTTGGAGACTCCTGCTTTAGATATGTTAATAATCAATTTGTATATTACTTGTTTCTATCTACTTTCTAGGACATATTTTTCTTATTTTTTTCAAGTACAGTATCATCAATCTATGTTATTCAATTACTTGACAGTATTTGTCAATCACAATTTAATAATAATTTAAAAAGTACACCACCATAATCTGAATATACAACTATATGCATAGCTAAATAAGGAGACGTCTGCATGGATGTGGCTTTTTTCTTCTGAATCAAAGAATTTTTAAAAATTCTATAGTCGTTAACTCTCATTAAAGATAATGCACATTATTATTACATATATTTGACTGGTGAACTAAAAGCTTACAGCTACCGTTCATTTAAATTGAAACAAACTGTAATCCATTAACTTACTTCGATTTACTTGGCTTACAGACAATATTATGTGTTTGCCAATCTTTCATCTGACAACTTGAAGAACAGTAACAGACCTGCTTACACTTGGTGCATCTTAAGGATCCTAAAAAGATTACAAAAAGATTACTGAAACATCAGAAAAAAACCTTCTTGGAGAAAAGCAATTGCAAACAATTAACATGTAACTAGCAAGAAAGCTACAGTACAAGTGTATAGATTCATTAGGTATTAAGCTCTAGCTCAGTGGTTCTCAACCTGTGGGTCGGGACCCCATTTGGGGTCGATCGACCATTTCACGGGGGTCGCCAAGCAAGGCTGTCTGCCATTTTTTTTGACCGCCATTTTTTTCCCCTTTTCCGGCGGGTGCCTTACCTCCCTTGGGCTGGGCCAGCTGGTGGTCGGCCTGCTCTATCTCTGCCGCTTGCCAGCTACGCCTCGGCCGGCACAGGGGGCGGAACCACACATGCGCGACGCTCCCAGGCAGGGAAAGTCCTCGACTTACAACCGGTTTAGTCCTCGACTTACGACCGGTTTAGTCCTCGACTTACAACCGGTTTAGTCCTCGACTTATGACCGATTGGGGTCGTGGCATTAAAAAGGTTGAGAACCACTGCTCTAGCTGAAGAAATCATTTTCTGCATTGCTTATATCAAGGCTGAATCAGACACCTACGAAGAATACTTAGCTTTATACTTCAATTCTTTTTATAGAAAACTGTTGTAAGCTTGTACTAAGCAAGTCTGTTTTCATAACAGTAGTTTCAAGTGATAAAACAATTATTTCAGAAAACTTAATTCAACTTATGTGTCTATATTTGCTTCAATTTGACAGATATAGGCTGCAGTTTCCATAAGGCCACTTAGTAAATTTGTGATCAGATTTAGATATTTCAACTGACACCTGAATTCACATTACATTAATTTCACTTAAAAATTATTAACAAGTAGCGCTATTTGATCATACTTTTAACTAACATTTTAAAGCCTGCATTATTTTGTCATAGATTAGTTAACAAAAACTTACCAAACAGCCCACAAAAATGGCAAGTGGGCTGATATAACGGACTGAACTGTGATTTATGGCTGATAGGTAAAACTTTGTCAGAAGTTGATAAATGCATTGCTTGTATCAATGCTGAGTCAGATACCTAAAAAGCATATTTACAAATATAAACATATGTTTATCTTAAATTTGTAAGATATTACTATTGTAATATTTTATATTAAAATTCTTAATTTCTCAGAAAGTGAGACTGATACAGAATACACAAAATTTAAAAGTACATGTCTCTCAGAGAAATATACAACAGCTACGTTAACATATGACTAGGCCAGGTTTTCTTTAAATACTTGAATATTATGTTACATACATTGAATAATATATGATACTTTAACATAAACCAAAGTACAGTTTATTATTAGTTATGAATCTAAATCCTGCCCACCTAGCAGTTTGAAAGCATGCAAATGCAAATAGATAAATAGGTACAACTTTGGTGAGAAATTAACAGCACTTTGGTGTATAGTCATGCTGGCTAGATGACCTGGAAATGTCTTCAGACAACTCTGGCTCCCTTGGCCCAGAAACAGAGATGAGCACCACCACCTATAATTGGACACAACTGGACAGGGGAAACCTTTATCTTTGTGAATCAGACAGTAACCTGGGAATAGCATACTTTATTACAATTAACAATCATATTAATACGACAGAGAAAAATTGTTACTGGAAACTTACAGGATTTATTTTCTTTGTAGAAGATAACAAATTATTCATAACTTTGAAACTCCCTACAATATACAATTGAAATGTTTAGAATCAAATAATTTAACAGATTAAATATATTTTTAAATCATTTATTCAATTTTATATGGTTTTTTGATCAGATAAAATGCTTATCCAGAAATAACCTAAGGTAGATTTAGATGGATTCAATTCTAGGTTAATGAAGTTTTCCAGTACAAGAAGTTCTAAGTTCTAATCATCAAGGAAACACGATTCTTATAATTAACTTGACACTTCAACTCAAGGGAGCATGAAACCATTACAGTTAGCCTTAATTTAGTGACTACCTTGTTTAACACCATTTGCAGTTACAATAGTGATAAAAAAGTAACTTTATGACTAGTCCTTGCATTTAGCATACAACCTTCAGAGGTCTGTAAAGCAAAATTGAAATAAGATCGTAACTTAGCAGAGTTACTGCTTTACCTACTAAACCAGGGATGTCAAACTCGCAAAGTCACGTGATGTGTCGCAATCTATCGCAACTTTTCTCCATTGCCAGCAATGGGGTAGGAGCGGTTTTGGCAGGACGCATCCGGCCTGTGGCCCGGCAGTTTGACACCCCTGTACTAACCATTTAGCTTAATGAGAAAGTTCCTAGTCCTAATTCTGGTTGTTAAAGGGGGACTACCTGTGATATTTTTTTGGCATATAAACGATCCATATGCTCAAAACATTATGTTCAATGCTATTATTCAATAATAGCACTATTCCCAATATTTGCAGATAAACAATGATTACAAGATTATAGCATACCACTTTGTTCTTTATTCCAATTAGCTGGTTTTCTTACCAAAACATACATACCTTCTGGATCATTGAGCTTTGACCCTGGAGATTGGGAAGGTGGGAGTTGGTTGACAAACTCCAGAGAATTTGCTGGAGGACCTTTACCTGATGAAAGAACAAAATTTTACAAACAGAAAACATTTTTTAGAACCAAACGCTTACAAATAATTAACCAAAAGTTATTATTCCTAGTTTTCAAAATCTCACAAAATTACAAAAGGGAACATGTAAAAATATAGCGCTACAAAGTACATTAAATTTAAAGGGTTTTTTCTCACCTTTCATTCCCACTCCAGCCACATTTAATGAAACAGTTTTGTGATCATAGCCATCATGGTTGTTTTCAACTGAACCGTTCCAATTTGCAACAACTAATTCTGCCTGCTCACAAATTGAAAAATTGTTGAGTAATGGTGGTACTTTATCAAGTACAATACTTTTGAAGTTGGGGCTTGTGCTGGGACTTCTCAAAGACTGATTTGGACTTTTGAGATCCCTTATCTGTAGCCTTTGTTCCATTTTGCACACATCTATATTAGAATCATTTCCTTACAATTTCATGGATAACTTAATAGCTAGGAAAGTAGAATAAATACATTAACAATTAAGTTGTACTAATAAACAATCCTAAACATAATTTAGATATTTCTACATGTAATGTTTTTCTGTTAAGCCTAGAACATGGGCTAAATCATCTAACCCCTCAGAACATAACACGATATTCGTAACAATATTTTAAAATGCAAAACAATTGTTTTGAAAAATGTTTTCAAAAGGGAATCATGTATTAAATCAGGGGTCTTCAAACTTGGCCCTTTTATGACTGGTGGACTTCAACTCCCAGAATTCCTCAGCCAGGCATGCTGGCTGAGGAATTCTGGGAGTTGAAGTCCATAAATCATAAAAGGGCCAAGTTTGAAGACCCCTGTATTAAATGTTTTGACCAGCAAAACAGATTTTCTAAAGTTAGTTTCTCATATTGCTTTTCATAGAAAAAAAACTGGAAAAAGTAATTGACCAAATTTAAACCACTTTCAGCACACAGAAGATATAATAAATGTTATTAAAAGGTTAAAGCTGTAGTATGCTGCAGTTCACTTTATTAGATGCACAGAACAACAGTTAGACTAATTAGGATTTAAACTGTGATGGAGGGAAGCAGAAGAAAGAATAGTTTGGGCATTCAGGTTATAGGAGAGATAGTTTAGTCTCATATGTTAATTACAAAAACTGCTATTAGACATTCTGATTTTTTTTCACAAATTCTCATCCTACAATGTTTTCAATACACACAATTCTTCAAAGAAAATCAATATTCCAAAGTCTGTAAAGCCGTTTTGTTTTAAAGTGTTCACTGTTGGGAATTATGGAAAATTTGGATAAAAAAGAAATGGAATTGATGCTGAACTTGATAACTGCTGCGAGATTATTAATAGCTCAATGTTGGAAAACGGATTGTTTGCCTACTATAGAAGATTGGGCATTTAAAGTTTCAAATTTAGCAGAAATGGCTAAGATTTCAGCCTCTGTGAAGGATTACTCACAAGAAAGATATATACTGGTTTGGAGAAGATGGATAGATTATATTGAGAACAAATATGGAACTAAAAAGTTTCATTTGGTTTTTGAGTAATATCTGTGATTGCTAATGTAATATATTTTATTAAAATTAAATATTTTGTAATAATGATTTGATATATTAGTTTAGGAGAGAGCTAAAGGATGTTATAGATTTGTTAACTTAAGGGTAACATAATTTAAGATAGAATATAATTATTGTATTGTAAACCCTGTGTGTAGCTCTGGGAAGTGGGGGGGGGGAAGGGAGGGGGTGGGAAAGGGTGGGGTCTGAGGGAGGTGGGGAGATATATTGTAAAACTTTTAAAAATTTTCAATTAAAAAAAAAAAAAAAAAGAATCACACCCAGGAATATTAACAGTTCCATTGCTATCTGCCTCAAGTTTCAAACACATACAGTAATCTCCACAATACTGGCACATGGATATATTTCAACTGAAATTTAGAAATCCAAAAGGTGATCCCATTACCTTCGTATTTCCCATACTAGGGTTATTTACACATTCTCATACGAATCAGACGCAAACGTAGTAGCACAGCAAGTGAAATCGCTTAGTCACACAAGTTCAATTTATGTAAGTACTAGCAAAATACACCAAAAATACAAGCATACATAAAAAAAACATTATTACACAATGCACAGAGTTTGGAAAACCACAGGCCACAGGAAACACGATTTACAATACTTCATTACTAGTACAACTAAAACACTTAGTCCCAACAAACAGGTTTCTTGGCTATGGTTTTGTCTATTCTTCCTTTTTCAAGAATTTAACGTTAATATTCCACCTTGGCCAAACCAAAACTTTACCGTCTTTTACAGTAACAAGGGTATCCAGCCCAGGAAAAACAACGATCGCACGCCAGATTACACGCTTAAGACTCGTGTCTGAGAAGCAAATGAGTGAAAGCTTGGAAGGATCCGGGATTGAGACTACTTAACTCTTAAATGATTAACGGCGCAGAGCGAGAAGGGAAGCGAATTCACACACCGGCATTAAATCATAATTAGTTGCAAAAAACGGCAACTTTTACAACAAAGCTTACACACTCCAAACACGGACAATTGCATTAGGGCTCGTGCGAGGTGTTAACGTAGTCCAAAAGTAAAAGACGCAATATCTAAATCCCGCAATGGAAGAGATTTAGCAATTTGTGGCTCGGTCGGACCACTCCAGACTGGGGCAAAAGCATTCGCGGGTGTATTCTCCAAGGGGTCCTGGGCGAGCTTAACTGCAACCTACCACCCAAAGGTTGAAGTAGAAGCGAAAGCGAGGGAGCTTACATTTGATAGCTTGGAAGCATAACCCGCCACTCTCCCCACTTAAAAAATAAAGGGCCGCAGGGTCTTTTCAACAGCCTCCTCGGCTATTGACTCCGAATGAAACGAAGCTTCGTTCCGGACGTTTAGCCTCGTCTCCTTTTCTCCACATCGCGTGATCGCCAGAGCGCAGGCGCCGCCTGTATAACCGCAGGACAAGGAGATTTTTGAAGGAAATGCCGGGAAGGGGGGAGGGGGGCGCGTTGCCTGCGCGAGCTGCGTGTTTGCAAGCTGTATTCTTAATTCTTTAAATTTCCTCGATGATGCAAACTCTTTTCATATTGGCTCGGTTCGTTGCCTAGGGTGTACGGTCCCTGTGCCTTAGCTTTACATATTTTCTTGCACGAGATTTGGACATCCGATTTCACTGCCTGTACCTAAAATACTCGTGTACAGCACAATAGTACAATAATGCTGATGTTTAGGTATTTGTCAAATGCTAAAGTATGAACATTGTGTATAGATGGCATTGAACTTGTGTTAACTATTTCAGTGCTTGCTTTCTTAGGAAGCAACTTCTGTTTGGTTCCGTGCATTTGACCTCCTTAAGTAATTGCAGTGTTAAAGTAATCTGTTTCGGAGACTAGGATAGTCCTATATCTGAGCCCAGTAGATTAAATACTATACCTTCGTTTACTATCCAAAGCAACTTTTTTTCCTAAGAAAGTTGTGCTTGCAGAAAGAAAATGCTCTTGCAGAATGTGAAACTCAATTGACCTTTTTATGTAACTTGCTAGCCTGCAATTTATTGAAATAATCAACTGTTTTAGATTCATGCAACATAGCAAACCACAAACTAGTCAGCCATATTTCAACCTACTGTTTTACTAACCCAGCTAGGGGAGTTAGTTTATGCTTTGGCCAGCTGTGTGAACCCACAAAATAAACAGCTAAATTAACTAACACTACCTCACACCATAAACTATATGGTAGCCATAGGACACTGAATCGCCAACTAGTTAACTACATTTTACTCTAACATGCTGTTTGATCTCATCCTGTGTGATAAAGATATGCCATAAAACCTAGAAAATAATGGTAATTCAGTAATCATGATTCAGTTAATGTTATGTAAAAATATTGCCAGAAACTAAAGCATTATAATTATGGATCTTATGGTTTGGAGCACCTTTGTGCAAGAATGTGGGTCTGAAGCTTGGATTTTTAAATAATTTCTTAATGAGGAAAGCTTTCAATACTCTATGAAGGATGGGTTCCTTGTGATTCATTTTGCCCTCTTTGCTTACCAATATTTATATAAAACTCGATAACATCTGAAAGTATTGGTTGAGATGCTGTTCCTTGCATATACATGAACTTTAGCTTTCTTGACAGATCAGGGATTACAATGATGCAGTATAAATATATTGCTGTAACAGTAAACTCATGTACAAATATCAAAAGCCACATTTTTTGGGCACATTACCACAAGATGGAACCAAAAATCAATGTGGCTCACATGCTTTACTCTGTGCATACCAGCATTACCAGATGGATTTGTAACTTGTTGACCAATCACACTCATTGTGTAGTCCTTAATGGAACTGCATCTACATGGAGGGAAAATTGCAGTGGGGTACCCCAAAGTTCTGTTTTAGCCCCAATACTCTTCAATATCTTCATCAGTGACTTAGACAAGGGAATAGAAGGGAGACTCATCAAATTTGCAGATGACACCAAGCTGGCAGGAATAGCCAATACTGCAGAAGATAGGCTCAATATACCGAAGGATCTTGATAGAGTTGAACAATGGGCCTATCTAACGAAATTCAATACTGGGAAAAGTAAGATTCTACATTTGGGCAAGAAAAACCAAATGCACAGGTATAGGGATAGCTCATCTCTTAGGTAAAAATCAAAATCCAAAAGCTTTGTCAAATGTTCTTTGCTAACAAAAGTCCAGTTAGGGTAACCAGATATAAATTTTTATTTTATCCCTGATTGAATAAACTAATCTTATATTCAATTTTTGAATTTTTAAGAATATTATTTTTTAAACCCTTCAAGCCATGGATCTCTATTGTTCAAGCACAGATGGCTTATCAGACTGGAGCATGCTGGTAGCCTAACAAAAACAAAGTCCAACTGGTTTTTAGATCAGGCTATGTGCAGACAATGGTGGCCAGAAGCCAGTCTGGGCTACTGTAATGAATTACAATGAAGCGGCAGTTTCTCGAGAAGGAGGGAGCACATTGCAAAGGGGGGGGGAGGTGCGGGGGAGACAAGAGGTAATACAGCCCAGAGCTGGATGAAAGATAAGGGCAATCTTAAATCTCTGATATATACACCAGGGCAAAGAAAATGACTGAAACCAGAATCTTGTGGTTTTATCACAAATGTAAACATGAGAGAAAGAAACTGGTTATATTTAGTCAGACAAGTTAAGAAATATAAATCATTTGATAGGATAGACCTGTGGTGGCGAACCTATGGCACGCGTACCACAGGTGGCATCCAGAGCCCTCTGTGGGCACGCGCACCCTCACCCCAGCCCTAGGCCTTCAGCTGGGTTTTATAAAACCTTTTCGCTTTAGGCCTCCGCCATGTGCAAAAAAATAATCAATTTCAACTTCTCGCGGGGAAAAAAAAGATCTCACAAAGTTGGAATTAATTGACTGAACTTTTTAGTCCCACCCAGTCTGCTGTTATCACCACAGCCATGCCCACCCAACGGGCCAACACCCACCCAACGAGCCAACACCCACCCAACGGGCCAGGCCCACCCGGCACCCGACGATACATAAGTGGGTTTTGGGTTGCAGTTTGGGCACTCGGTCTCTAAAAGATTCGCCGTCACTGGGATAGAGGCAATGAGGCATAAATGATGAAAATATTAAGCACTGATAAAGAGAAGTAAACATGATTACAATAAAATGTAATTACATGGCAAGAATTACAAAATAATGTTATAAGCAGCCCAGGGTTGCTTTGAAACTAGATGAATGGCAAATAAATATCATAATAAATAATAAATAAAATTTTTCCAAGGCCAGAGAAAAATAGAAGCAACAATAGAACACATTTTGCTTTAAGTTTAGCTAGAAACAAGTTGACAGAAACATTACAATAACTTGTTGTAAGCAGCAAAACAGTTGCCAGTAATTGGGCAGTATATAAATTTAATGATAATTATTAGATCAGCAATGGAAAATAAATGGTAGGCATTGAGAAAATGAAATGTGTGGCTGTGTTGTGGTTGTGTGATCCTGCCATACTATTCAACCGAAGCAACTTTTTAATAAAGAAATAATAATAATAATAATAATAATAATAATAATAATAATAATAATAATAATAATAATAATAATAATAATAATAATAATAAAGTTAGAAGGGACCTTGGAGGTCATCTAGTCCAACCCCCTGCACAGGCAGGAAATCCTATACCATTTCAGACAAATGGCTCCAGTCTCTTCTTAAAAACTTCCAGTGTTGGAGCATTCACCACTTCTGGAGGCAGGTTGTTCCACTGGTTAATTGTTCTAACTGTCAGGAAGTTTCTCCTTAGTTCTAGGTTGCTTCTCTCCTTGATCAGTTTCCATCCATTGCTTCTTGTTCTGCCTTCAGGCGCCTTGGAGAATAGCTTCACTCCCTCTTCTTTGTGGCAGCCCCTGAGATATTGGAATACTGCTATCATGTCCCCCCTCGTCCTTCTCTTCATTAAACTAGACATAAATGGTAGGCATTGAGCAGCCTTTCCTTGTATGCTTTAGCCTCCAGTCCCCTAATCATCTTTGTTGCTCTTCTCTGTACTCTTTCTAGAGTCTCAACATCTTTTTTACATCGTGGTGACCAAAACTGGATGCAGTATTCCAAGTGTGGCCTTACCAAGGCATTGTAAAGTGGTATTAACACATCACGTGATCTTGATTCTATCCCTCTGTTAATGCAGCCCAGCACTGTGTTGGCCTTTTTGGCAGCTGCAGCACACTGCTGGCTCATATTTAAGCGATTGTCCACTAGGACTCCGAGGTCCCTCTCACAGTTACTACTATTGAGCAAGGTACCCCCTATACTATACCTGTGCATTTGTTTTTTCTTGCCTAAATGTAGAACCTTACTTTTTTCACCATTGAATTTCATTTTGTTAGATAGCGCCCAGTGTTCAAGTCTGTCCAGATCCTCCTGTATCCTAAGCCTGTCTTTTGGAGTGTTGGCTATTCCTGCCAGCTTGGTGTCGTCTGCAAATTTGATGAATTCCCCATGTATCCCCTCGTCCAAATCGTTGATGAAGATGTTGAAGAACACTGGGCCCAGAACAGAGCCCTGGGGCACCCCACTACACACTTCCCTCCATGTAGATGCGGTTCCATTGAGGACCACACGCTGAGTACAGCCGGTCAGCCAGCTATGGACCCATCTGGTGGTGATGCTGTCTAACCCACATTTTTCTATCTTATCAAGTAGTAGGTTGTGATCTACTTTATCAAATGCCTTACTGAAGTCCAAGTAAATTATATCCACAGCATTCCTCTGATCCACTAATTTTGTCACTTGGTCAAAGAATGCAATAAGATTTGTCTGGCATAATCTGTTTTTGACAAACCCATGTTGGCTTTCGGTAATGACTTTGTTTGCCTCTAGGTGTTCGCTGATTCGTTGTTTGATTATCTTTTCCAGAATCTTCCCAGTTATTGAGGTCAGGCTGATAGGTCTGTAATTTCCTGGGTCCATTTTTTTCCCTTTTTGAAGATGGGAACTACATCAGCTCTTTTCCAATCCTCCGGTAGTTCCCCAGTGCTCCAGGATCTTTGAAAAATATAGTTCAATGGTTCTGAGATCACATCTGCCAGTTCCTTGAGAATCCTGGGGTGTAATCCATCTGGTCCTGGTGATTTAAACTCGTCTAGGCTGGACAGGTGCTTTGGGGTTTCTGTGTCTAGACTTCAAGCAAGAGAGCCCTATATGAGTAGCTGGTGCCTACCCACTGCGAAAGATGGAATCCTGGCGGGAATGCAGCTGTAGAACCAATAGAATACCCAATTGCTGCAACATGCGTGATAACTACCTTACTCCTTTGCAGGTCAATAGGCCATACCTCACCCCAGCAGATGTAAGATCCTAAAGCTGCTGCCAGGAGACCTCAGCTACAACTTGATAGTGCGTACATGCTGAAGAATGTGGACACCTGTGGGAGCAGCTACTATTGCTACTTTGCAGGATGAACTGGCGCTGTGTGGATATGACCCTAGATAGAAGATCTTGCCTAATTGCACATGTGGTAGCGTGAGAAACACCAGCTGCCTGTACTGTGTATAGTTTCTTGGAATCATTCCAAGAGGCTTGAAGAAGCGAGTCATCAAAGAAAGCAGATCCAGCTCCGTGCTAAATATACAATATGGATGTTGGGCACATCGATTTCTTTTGAATCATGATTGGAAAGCTTCTGCATGTGAGCTAATCTAGAAAGATAGGTTCTACGAGTTCGGGGTCTGTATAAAAGCAGATTCCCCGGACTCTACGAATGCCAGGCTACTTCCACTCTAGCGTTATTGTTCGTGGACTACGTTGTAGTAAGAAAGCTCTGCGATTCTACTCCAATCTCCATAAACTGAACCGCAGCTTCTCTCGATGGCGAGGTTAAACATCAGTAGTTTCATTTAGCAAACGGCTCTAATCCTCGAAACCCGTGCGATCATCAAAAGGCAGGGCCGTTACTCCCAACCAGATTCGTCCCAGTGGGAGGGGGAAGCGATGCCTGCTATTTTACTAGGCATGGATCGCAACGCCCTGATAAATGACGAGAGGCAGCTTTCGGGCTGCTGAGTGAGGAATTAACCCAGGCCTATTCGGGATATTTTCTCCTCCCCCTTGCAGGCTGATAATCGGATCTCGCTCCGCCTTCACTCCGCCTCTCCAATGAAGCTACTCTGGATCCCCGGGGCAGCCATCTTTGTTGATGTGTCAGCTTTCAGTTCCTGTTAGGGGCTGCAGCAGGAACGAGAGGAGCGAGAATGACTCTGTACCCTCCCGCTACACGCACACCCACTCCCTTACGCATTCTGGGTCTTCGGTTCTAATTAGCAATGGGAGAGCGACTACTAAAGCAACAGATGCTCCGGTCCCCAGTCTCCTAGCAAACGGGTAAGCGCTTGCCGACTGGGCTTTGGAACATATTGCGATCTGATGAGGTTTCAGTCACAAAGAATGTAGATCAAGCTAGGTAGGCTACGCGAGAGGAATGTGGGCTCGGGTAATAGGCAGGAAAACCTGCTCTTGCTTACAGGGGTGGATTCCCACGACTTCTTTACCTATCTGCTCGAGGTGGTTTGTTTTTTTTTTTTAATGGGGAAAGGTTTTTGACGTCAGACACCGAACCTTCACGAGGCTTCCTCTCTGCTTCTCCCGCGGAACCCCGCGTAGGTTACTAAATGGGGTTCCATAGGGACATTATTTCTTAGCCCCTCTCCTCGTATGAAAGTATTCGTTGGCTTTTGTCATTTTTGTTCAATATTGGTGGACGGTGCTGTTAACATTGGATACCAATGTTTACCAGGAAGTAAATGATAGAAAGGTCCTCCAAGGTGTTGGCCTCAAGGTCAGATATGTAAGGTGCGAGGAATTCTTTTAATTCCTTAGGTGACTGATCCTTTAAGGATACCTTTGTACCTATTGGTGCTGCCTCCTTACTGTTACGCATCTGAAAGGTGTCAGGTATAAAATCGTTTGGAGTCTCTGATGTTTCAGACTTCTGATGCGAGCCATAATATTTGAATATAACCATTTTAAATCAAACCGACATAAAGACTGAAAAAGGATTGTGCGCCTTGATTTCTTTGTTACTGTAGGATGCCTGTGAAATTTAGATTTAGCATTAAGTTTTGGAAAATGCAATACAGGAATACATCAGATAAAAGAGCTTTCTCTAGTTAAGGCAAACGTCCTACCTGAAAAGCTTTTGGCTTCGCTGTATATTTTACTTTATTGGTTTGCAATTAAAATATTTTCTGTATTAAATATTCAATCTAGGTTGCATGGCCAAAAGCATAGATAAGAAAAGACATTTCCCTATGTTATTTCTATCTTCATTCTTTATTATCAATAGTAGTTGGATTACTGCATAAAAGTGCTTTTGGCATCATTTTCAGAAGATTTGTGAGCTTCATTATGTTTATTTAAGAGTAAATCCCTCTAGGTTCAGTGGGACTTAGTGACAGATAAACATAAGCCTTTGTTATTGTTTTGAATGTTGAGCTATGACCAAGGCATTTTGTGGCTTCCTTATTTAAAAACCAGGTAGCCAGATGCTTATAAAAGCAGATGATATAAGATTCAAAGTCACTTGGAAAGATTCCAAAGATCAATTTGCTCACAAAGCCATTCTACACAATTTATCCATAATTCCTGCCCGTTTTGCTACAGTGATCTTTCTGAACAGCTTTTGTTACAGGCTGAAAATTGAATAAATACAATTTAGCATACTTGAGTAATCTTTTAAAAATTAATAGCTAAGGAATAATACAGCACCAGATTCTTCATTCTTGCACTTTATTCCCACATTTTGTGAGCCAGGGAATGGTGTTTGTTTTTTTTTGTGAACCAATATGGTTGGCAATTATATATGACAGCCATATAATTTAGATAAATGAGTTAATGCTTCTTGGTAAAATTGACTTGCATTTCTTTGATCTGTGCAGTTGATACTTATTATCTATGTGAACAAAGAGTATTATTCAGTAGGCTTGCTTTGATGATTTTTAAAGCTAGTTTATACAAGCTGCTCAGAGCAAATGTAATATTTGTCTTAAATGACATTTCCTAATTATTTGGACAGAAAAGATGCTTAGGACAGCTCATAATTATGTGTTTCACACACACACAAACACACACACACACACAATTTAATCCATAATAATAGCATAGCCCAATAACCAATTCATTTAAAAAGCCTCATAGATAGAATCATCATGTGTTTATATATACAGAACTTGTATTTTTTTAATGTATAAGGATACATGATGTTCTGAATCAGTTATTCTATGCTACCATTTCAAGCTGATGTCTCTATATTTTCTGTTTTATTATGTATATTATGGATCCAATCAAGTTACAAGTTATTTGACACATAATAGAACACAATTTGCCATTCATAAATTTTGAGATATTGTTGCAAGGGACTGTTTTACCTTTATACATAAGGTATATTGAATTCTATTTGCAGAGAATTCAATATAAGAAACAGTAAAGCAATGCTGTGACAATTAGCTAATGACGGAGGTTGCAGATCTTAGCAGTCTGAAAGTCCTGAATTGATTTAATGTTAAACCCCCCCAGGCCCCTTTTTTTTTTTTACTTTGCTGCTTAGTAATTTTACAATATTACATGACCTAGAATAGGATCAGTTTGACAGGTTAAATATTTATTTCAATTTTTGCCTTAGCAGCAGAACACCAAGCAATGACAGATAAAGTAAAATTCAGTGTTAAGAAACAGTGTAGGAATAATAGTAGAAATATACTGGATGTATCAAATTATTTTGTCAGTAAGCTCTGTTTTTCTGCCTATTTATTTGTATCTTGATTTATTGGTCACTTGTCTTCTCACACGGTAATGTAATATGTGCAACAAAGGAGACTTCCATTTTGAGCTATAAATCTCTTGACTGAAAGGTACAGACAGGAAAAGACATTTTCAATGTTATAAGATTTAATTATATATATATAACCTTCTCTATTAAAAAACAATACAGTTCACAGTTGGGTTAAAATAGCACAAGATGTGATATTAAATCATAAAAAGTGATAGGATATAAAATGTAGATTACTAGAAAAACATAAAATACATGTTAAAGTGCAAAAGAAAATTTAAAAACAATAAGTTTCTCTGAGATGTCCTTAGAGTTTTCAAATGTTGCATTTTCTTGACCTGTAAAATGATAAATGAATTTGTGTGGTTTCCCTTTCCTATTCGCTCCCCCCCATCTAATTTCTTTCCAATTAGGGATGGACAAGATGTAAATATACCACTAATAATAATTATTGATACATATTTCAAATACAACAATGGTGTAATCTTATAATATTAACACATTTTCTTTGAACATTTACAGTAAGTGAACTTTAAAACAATATTTTGAATAGGTGGATGTGCTTGCAGAATTTTCATAATTTCTGCTGCAGAAGATCCTGATTTTGTTATTGCCCGCAATACGGTAGTTCAGTTTTGACCACCATCCAACTGAGGCATGGAAGACATAAGGCTCAGAGCCAGACAAAAGCCAGAGCCCTAGCACAGCTTGTTTTGGGTTTTCCTCTCTTTGCATCACAAGCCAGTAACTTGGTTTCCCAGGCAGAATGCGAGTAGATTCTGCAGGGCTGCAACTTTGCATGTTTACTTGCAAACAAAGCAGGAGTTCTACCAGAATATCCTGTTCCTGCTATTAGCTTGTTCATGCAAATTGGACATTGATCCACCTTATCATGATAAACCCCATAATAATTTGATACACACTTCAAATTGTTAATAGTTTGAGTGCTTCTGGTTTAAATGGAACATTTGGCCATTTGGCAAATTTTCTATGGACATTCTAATTGATATTCCCTTTTTGGGATGTTGCAAAATCTAGATCTATGATCAAGAAGATTTTTTCTTGTGTTTTGCCAAGATGTAGGTAGAATATTTTATTTTTGAAATTTCTGTCTTTTTCCTCCCATCATGCTCATTCACTCACTATCTAGTGTTCTTAAGAGACAGATCTCAGTAAAATCTAACAATGTAAATAATACTCTATGTTAAAAGGTCACCATTTGATTAGAGCTTACTGTATACTAAATATTTTGGTGATGGTAACCAACTGGAATGACTGTACATTTATTTATTATTCAAATAACAAGCATTTGAATAAGAGTATAGATGAATACCATGTTTAAACATGAACAAGGTAGGAACACTCCTCTGATACTATAATCAGAATTGTGATCCCTTTATAGAGATATAGAAGCTGTCTCCCATAGCCTTGCCCATAGCAGTCAGAAGACATAATCAAAACTCTTTAATTTCACAACATATGGACAGACTTAATCATAGTTTCAGTTGGGAAACTGTGACCATCCTAGACCAAGCCAAATGTAAAAAGACTAGGGAATTTCTAGAAGCCTGGCACTCTGACAAATTAGCCATCAATAGACAAATATTTATAAGTAATATCTACATACTGTGGAAAAGAGACAATCAACAAGCCAGAAAGGAAATTAAAAAAACAAAATAGCTCCCTCCCCTAATCAACATCCAGAATAGCATAGATTAACTCCAAGATTAATATCAGACCAACAATCAAGAAGTAAAGAGCCCAACCAAAGAAACTCCAAGACCATTCCCACCAACACTGACAGAGCAAGCAACTAGAATATAAACTGAGAGCAAGCCCCACTCCTTACTTCTACTGATGATGTTGTCTAGTTTGGGTAATGAAAAATCTGCAAGAAAACAACCAACTCAGAAAGCACCAAGGACCCCTCATAGCCTTGCCCGAATCCCAGAAACAACCTAGAGATGAGAGGAAAAAAACCCATAAATAGTAGAGTTTCTTTTCTTATGAAAGAATGTACAAAAAATAATTTTCCTTAGAGGCATTCTGATCTTAATATCCAGTAGGTTGATTGAAAAAAGCATTTTGCATCATCTAGAATTACCTTTTCCTGTACAACCAACTTCTTTTGAACCCAGGTTAAGTTTCTGGCCCTTGAGAAGGAGAGTGATGGTTGAAGTTGGGTGTACCTTTGAGTTTTGGCACCAAGTGAAAATTTTAAAAGACTCAATCCTTTGACTAGAATAGTTGGGAAGGCTTGTGTATTTATTTTAATGGTGACCTACCGGAGACTTGATGGAATATATTCCCATTCCCCATCCAAACTTGCACTTCCAAACCATCATAAAGGGTAACATAACATAAAATGCATGAAAGTGGTCCTTGGCTTACATCCATTTGTTTAATGACCATTCAAAGTTCTAATGGCATTGAAAAAAATTGACTTGCAACCGTCATTGCACTTACATCTGTTGCAGCATCCCCATGGACACGTTATCAAAATTTGGGTGCTTTGCAACCAGCATGTATTTACTATAGTTGCAGTATCCCGAGGTCA